CGATCAGGTGGAACCAAGCCACTTTGATCGCAGCACCACCTTTGCTGTGATCAAGCAACGACACAGGTCAAGGTCATACAGGCAATACAGCCCCTCAGGTGCTATATTGTATTTTTTATGATTTTCAGGTCAGAGATAACGTCAAAGCACCACGACAAGACATGCCCCGACGTCATCATCGACGTTACACAACGCCAAACTGCTGTCGTAAGGCCCTTGTGACGTTGCGTTGAGGACGACGCTGCTTGGCGACATCAAGTCGCCGTTGTAACGCAGCCGTGTTGTCGCGTTGAGGATGCCGTTACGAAACATTAAGTTGCCGTTGTGACATTGTGTCGCATTGAGGATGACGTCGTTGATACCAAGTCGCCGTTTGAACGTGGTCATGACGTCGTGCGCCACAGCGAGGACATGGTCGTCGACGCCGACATTGATATCGACGCCCCACGCAACGTCAAACATTGCTATGACATCACGTTAACGTCGTCCTTACGTCATTGTGAATGTCATTGTCACTACGAAGCCTTGACAGGGCATAATGTTGTCGCCTTTACCAGCATCAACATCGACGCGCAGTCACGACGAAGTCCAGGCGTTGTGTAACGTCGTCGACGATGACGTCGGCATCGTGAAGCTGTCGGGACGTCTTCTGTGACGTCGAGTTGCATCATGTTGACGTCAACAAACTGACACCAAGCGTCCTTATGACGGTGCACTGACAAGGACGCCGTCACCTTGATGTTCCATCGTGTTGTCATCGTCGTCATCAACGTCAACGTTGACATTGTCATCACTGTCAACGCAATATGACATCTGAACGCAGTCTTGATGGCGTGTAACGCGCAATGTCATTGTCGATGACGACGTTGACGTCAAGGCATCGTCCTGATGTCGCATGGCGTTGTGACGACAAGTCAGGTCGCAATGACTTTATGTATGCGATGCCCGACGTCTAGGTTGTATAAAAAATATGGTCTGGCGTTCTATCGTTTCTATGACCCTGACCTTGACCAGGTCAAGCTTGGCGTTGGAACGGAACGAATCCAAACTACTTCGCTCGTAGCGCCCGAGAACGAGCGAAGTGGCTTGGATTAGCAGTGTTTTCCCACATGCGGAGGTACCAAAATAGCACTCTGATGGCCCCACTCGTCCTTTCTAGTACACTCTACCCATGCATTACACCGGGCAAATGAATGAAAATGGCAGCCCTCCATGCATGCTCACATGGGAGTTCACGCGCATGCACTCGTGCCTCTCACCCTATGCCGCAAGCTGATTGGCACGTAACTGCGGTGAGATCATAAATTGGCCAAACAGTCCCAATATATGGCTCCGATCGAGACTAGGGTGCCCACATACCCAGCGCCGCGTCCAGGGTGAGGACAGGCGGTATATAGGGTCATACTTTCAGCTGCCCTTGTCAGCTTAGTCTTGAGTCAATGTAGTCCAATGAATGATAAAAACACAACTTTTCAGCCCACAAAGTACATCCATACACTCCAAAGTAAGTAGGACCAGATGTAGCCCTGCCATGTCAGATATGCCTCCACCCAGGGAGTGGCGCTAGCAACGATTCACCCAAATCGAGACTGCTCGCAACGACCGCAGTCTCCTAAAATGAACATAAGATTCTTGTAATGTACCTTTAATTTAAAAATAAATGTGGACAAAAAAAACCCCAAAAAACTTGGAAGTAAAAAAAAACATTGTGGTTGCATAACGATGGCACTCTTGCTGCCAAAGGATTTCGTCTGCATGTCATCTTTCTGTCGCTGGTCGGTAGGGATGTCGCGAACCAGCCTAGGTTCGATTTCGAAAGGTTTCGATACTTTCGAAACGAACTGAGGTTTGAATTCGACAAATTTCTATATTTTCATACCGACCGAGGTTCAAATTCGTAAAATTCGCAACTTTCGATCACAGTGGAGTTTCGAATTCGAAAAGTTCGAAGGTAACTAAAATTTCGGCTTCAAATATTTTGAATATTTTTTTACTTGAGGTTCGATAAATTCGAAGTTTTCAAACTTTCCGAAATTGAAAATTAGAAAATCTCAAATTTCCTCGGATCTGAAATTCGAAGATTTCGAAATTCTTTGGATATAAAATTAGAAAAATTTGAACGCTTCGAATTTGTATAAACATAAAGTTCGGAAAATTCGAATATTTCGAACTTCTTTCTATATAAAGTTCGAAAAGTTTGAAGGCTTCGATTCTCTTTTAACGCTAAATTTTAAAAAAATATTCGAAGGTTTTGAATTTCTTTTAGGTCCAAGTTTTCATAGTTCGAAGTCCGATTTTCATGTTCCTCCACAGTTTCAGTTTCGAATAATGTTTTCACGACTCACTGTTTTTCACGAAATCAGGTTTAGAAAAAATAGGGTGTGATATTTAGACTCCGCGGAGTTAAGTCGGGCAATTAAATAAGACGACGGGTGTCCCAAATGTACTGGAATATTTGCCAGTGCAGATGCAGAGTGACGTGTGACCATAGATCAGTAATTGTGACCGCCAGGCCCGGGGGGCGGGGGGGGGGGGGGGGGGGGAGGGAGGGAGGGAGGGAGGGAGGGTCCTTAGCGTGCATCCCACAGTAGTGAAACGTCCAGGGGCGGCCAGGAGGTTGAAGCTCAGAAAAACCTTGAAGCGACCTGCAAACTACTTCCCTACCCCTTGCACGCTGGTAGTAATCCGATCGAACACTGCCCGAGTGACGCTGACATATAGTAAATTAAGTTTGTACATGTCCTGGAGGTTTATTTTCCGGGACGGAGGAAATGCCTTGCAAAAAAACACAGAAGCTGACACAACTCGAGGTCGAGGAGCGTTCTACCATACAAGTGGCGTCGGTAGAAGAAAAACGGGAGAGGGGGGGGGGGGGGGGGAGGGGGGGCAGAGCCCCCTTCCAGATATTTCGGACTGTACAAGAAAACAATACGGGGAAAGAGGGCGTGGTTGAGGTTATTTTAATCAGAAATTATTTACGCATATGTATAGACCGACACGCTGTTTACAAACAAGCCCGCGTTTTCCCACACCAGGTGTGGGCACTGCGCGTGCGCACAAACCAAATTCGGGAGGAGTGGAGCGTCTGCGCACGCGCAGTGCCGTCGACAGCGCCACCGCAGCTGCGTGACGTCAGGGCCGCGTGTTGGTCTATAGCTACTGTCGCTCTTCACTGCATAAAAGATCGAGTAGATGGTCATTCTCGAAAACTGGTTGTCAGAAGGCACTACTTGTCACATGCTTAGTGGTTCGGAAGTTCACAGCTATGTCTTTTCGACCTGAATAACTGTGCCATTGATAAAAATAAATTAAAAAATAAACATAACAATTATTGCGGGGATAAAAAGCTGGAGAAAAAAAAAACTATCAAGAATTCGTCGGAAGTGTTGTATTCTTGAGTATTCACAAGCTCAGAACTTCGAAACAAGTTTCTCCTACCAAAATGTGTGCAAACTAAAAGAAACACGTCCCAAAAACGTGAAGTTTTTGGGACGTGTTGAGGAAGTCGAGCATGAAAATCGCGCCATCAGAAAGGCAACACTCCAATTGTGATAGTTCACGGCAGTCACCATTTGGGAAGCTGCTGCAGCGATATCCTTGTCAAGGCCTCATCCCGTTTGCAGGTCAATGAAGTTGTAAATGTTTGGGTGAGCCCTCCCTGACACAGCGTTTATCTTATGGTGCCATTTCTCCGAGGTTGTTTCAGGAGAGGGAGAAGAGATGCGAGCAAGGGGAACAGACACTGGACGCTTGAACCTAATAAACTTTTAACGAACAATACAAACTAACCGAACGATGGGCGAAGCAGAAAGGTTGTTTCGGGAAAGGGCGAAATGGGAAAGGATGAAACGAGAAGGTCGCTTTGAGCTGGGTCAAAACAGGAAGGTACAAACGGGAAGGTTGTATTGAGAACGGGTCGAAACGGGAACCACCCATCAAAATCGTATAACGATTCAAACTGTTGCAGATGGCATACCTCAGTCATTTCATGTGCCATCAACGTAAAATTTTAGTGTGCAAGAGACGTCTCAAGACGTCTCGAGGTCAGAAAGTTGTTACAGCAAATTTTTCAGAAACAGACCATTTCTGGCAAACTTCTGTCCTAAAAGTTTGAAATCTGGCCGTCCTATATCTATTATTTCTAAACGTTTGAATTATACATACAATTAGCGAACACCGGTTCTTCCTGAACTAAATCCTGTCCCACGGTTTCGTCCATAACAACGCCCCTAGCAAGTATTTGTTTGGAGTAGTGACGTCACACCTACAGGGTCAAATTCGCGTAAATGCGAGAACAGCTTTAATAATAAAACGCCTGTCCTGTATACTTCTTGTCCTTGTCTTTTTGTTGTGCTATTTTATATGTTTTACTAAGATGAACCAAATAACCCAACAACGTACCCTACTAAGCTTTAATAATGAAGACACACATGAAGAAGCTCGTATCTCACTAATGTGGCCATTGTTTGCATTATTTCCATCGTCAATCATTGCCCCGAAAATTAAACACTGCTTTTATGCCCACTGCGCATCCAAGAAAAGCTGCACCTCCACCGGCTGCGTGTGAATGCGACACAAGTGCGGAAGATAAAATCCAAACGTTTGACGTCACGATGTTACCTGGATCAAAATATAAAGAAAAACAAAATTTCTCTACGAGCAGACGTCCACCCAAGCTACATTTTCGTTAAATTAAGATATTGTGAGCACGCTTTGACATTTTCAGTAAAAAAAAAACAAAAAAAAAAAAACAGCAGGACAAGAAAAAGTTCTTTTTCTTTTTTTTTTTAAATAAATGTTACACAAGCTTACAATATTTCTTGGTCGGACAAAAATTAGGCCAAAGTGGATGCTGACTCTGTTGGCTCAAAGAAATATCACTCGTCTGTTTTATCTTTTGATCTAGCTGAAGTAATGTTCTTAATCTTTCACAACTTATCACCATCACTAGCACAACTTATCACCATCACTAGCACAACATTCACCAAGAGTTCCAGTGGTTTCAGACTTCTGCCATGCAGTTTATTTTTGCATGCTGAAAAGCTGCATTTCATGACCCCGTACACACTGTACAGTGATTGAACAGGCTTCTGCTGGTGGCTATAATATTACATTCTACCAGTTATATTCACGCAAGCCAAACTTGGCTTGGGTAGGGGTCCTTTCAAAAATTATCTTTGAACTTTAAGACCGCTGCCTGAATAAATACCCAATTACTTACCTCGTTATTTTGCCTATTATTTTACAAACACTACACACCGCCGCTTTACGAGACACGTTTGCTGCTTCATGTGGAACCATGCTGTAAATAAAAAAAAAGGAAACAGACCTGGTGGGCTCTTTTTTTGCATATACACATTTATCAATCTTAAATAATTCCTCAACTTTTCAACTTCCATACGCTAACTAAAAAAAAACAAAGTTGAGCGTAGGAAGCACAGCAGCAAAGTTGTTAGGTGAGCCTCCTGTTATATCTTTTGTATTTGTTACATTACCAGATTTTTTTTTCTCACCTCCCAGCATTACATGAAGGCCAAAAAAGAGAAAAGAAAATGGGAGGCAAAGGGCACATGAATAAAAGCTAGCCCTCTTTAAAACAAATATCCTCCAAAATTAAGAATACATTTAAAATCTATCCTCTAAATCAGCCTATAATATGTAAAGTGCCAGGAAACGCTGCGATCCAAATCAAGCAAAATAACACAGTTCCCAGTACTGACGTGGAAGCAGCGCTGTACAGATTACCTCCCTTTCAACGCTCGTAAATTCGAAGCCCCTAATCCGGAGCACAATTGTAAGTAAGCTGCTTGTCACGAGAAAATCGCCGACCCTCGAACACAACAAAGTTCTGAACGGGGCAGTTTCAGTCACGTGCACAAGCTAGTCTTCTTAATGTGGGGCCCCACTTCTGTTGTGGGGCCTGCAAGGGGTTCGCCCGGCGTGGTCACGAGCACATCTTCGCCCTCGTCTTCGAGTATGATGGGCTCTGCGCAGGAGCCGATTCCAAAAGTGGTCGGAGATTTGAATTTGCCCAAAGGAAGAAGTTTTCTGGCCGGAGAAACTTGGTGACCCTGGCCCGCTTTATCTTCCTTGGTAGCAGTGGTCAGGAACCGTTCCAGAGGTCCCAGAGGTCTGCATTGAGGAACGGAAAGCTTCCTTTATCATTTGCTGTCGGCGTACACCCCAATCCTTTTAGAGTAGAAACAGTACAGCAATGGAATGCATGCATGGGTGACAAGTACTGGAACACCGTGAAGCGAACGTAGGGTCGGCACTTGCATTGTTGATGATGTCAAGTGCCACGAGTTCAGGGTCAGTTGCGAGCCTGGAGCATGTGTGATGCGAGCTTGTGATCATTCATAGTGGTACATGGAAAGCAAAGTCGTTGTAGCATGGGTGGCTTGAAGTGTATGCCACTGTTTTATCTTTAAAAGGAGGCTGAAGTGGTTTTGTATTTAAGGAAACACACTTAAATCGTCTTAATTTGACCGGATCTCGAATATTGATAATATTTTTTAATTTGGTGCATGGAGGCTGAAGAAAATCATTTTTAAAGTACCGTATTTACTCGCACAATGAACGCACTCGCGTAATGAACGCACCCCCCAAGTCGGCTCTCAAAATTTCGACTTTTTTTTCACTTGCGTAATAAACGCACCCCCTACTCGGACGTCAAAATTTTGAACCCCCCCCCCCCCCCCCCCCCCCGCGCGCGAAACGAACGCACTTTTCTATCCTGGTGCAGCGAGGTCGCGAATGCATGGGCAGCGTGGGCGAACAAAACGCCTTGCAAAAGGCGTTAAAAAAATTCGCAAAGATCCAACGGTAGCAAGAAAAAAAAACATGGAGAGGAGCTTTTTTTTTTTTTTTGCACAGCGGGGTTCGTGCGCCGCCGCGCGCAAGGAGGTATGAAAGAGAAGCGGAGAAGCGCTCTAAGCGAACGAAACAACTTGCAAAAAACGGCAAAAAAAGAAAACCACCACGGAACTAAGAAAAAACAAAACCAGAGAAACGTTTCTTTTTTTCTTTTTTTTCGCACAGCGCAGTTTGGTTACCGGGGTCGTGCGTCGCGCGCCGCGAGCAAGGAGATAAGAAAGATAAGCGGAGAGCTTTCGCCTAAGCAAACAAAACAGCTTGCGAAAAGCGGACAAAAAAAAAAAAAACAAGGAACTAAGAGAAAAAGAAAACAAAGAGGATTTCTTTTTTGCACAGCTTAGGTTACGGGGTCGGGAGCCGCGCGCAAAGAGATAAGAAGTTACTTCGATTTTTCAGGATAAAGGGTCCGTTCATTATGCGAATAAATACGGACACAAAACTTTTACTTCGCGTAATGAACGCACCCCCCAACTTTGCGTCGATTTTTCGGAAAAAAAGTGCGTTCATTCTGCGAGTAAATACGGTATTGCTGAAGGCTCTCTTTCCCGGGGCGTGACGTCACAAAAAGAGTTTTCGTGTCCGATTGCAAGCACAGCCCTTGGGCAACACGAGCTTGACGGCTGAGAGATCCTTTTATAACGTCACGACTGGTTGGAGGTTTTTCGTGTTTTCTAGCATTTAGTTACATATCTTCGGAGAAAACGAACATAATATTCAGATTCACAGGACAAAACTATGGCAGAATTAATCTCTATTTCATTTTTTGAAAAAAGTTTACCAAGTCTCTTCCCAAGAGTCTGGGAAGAGAAGAGAGAGAAGCTCCAGTGCTTGTATGCAATGGTGGCACCATCTGTGTGTAAGGCTAAAAAATATGGCTGTCGTTCAATTCCTTCCCGAAAGCTGTTGCTTCGAAATGGAAAATATGAGTTCTTTATTTATCTTTTATTTTGTACTTGGACTTCAGAATTTAAATAGTAAGAGGATATTGCAGCCCAATTTGAACTAGAAATAGGGATTTTATACGATTCCAGGTGGCACTGCGGGTGCTGCATTTTTTAGCCGCCAGTCGAGAAAGAGTTCCCTCTCTCTGTCAAAAAATATAATAAAACATCCCCATTTTTTGCTTACCTTATCTTTGGACGCTTGACCTATAGTAATTTACCTCCTCCTCTCTCCAGCGTTCGGTCTGCTTTTTCCTCCCAAGCCTTGTTTTCCCTCCAAAAACGTTTCTTAACCTGTAACTGACTGTGCGGAGTGCAAGTTTGTTTGCTTTTTGCACAGGGGTTGCAACGATGTCAGAACGCCGAGCTGACCAAAAAAAAGTGGGAATACCTCAAGGCATCTAGCATTCAGGTCTACCCACTATCCTTTCAATCAAAGCCAATCAGAGCTCCACCATCATTCTGACGTCAACGCAACTCCTGCGCAAGAAACAGATGACTTGCTCTCCAAATACATTTTCTAACCTCCACTATCGCAGGTTCCCCAACCACTACCAAGGCATCTGTGCGGGATGCAGTAATGAACACCTTGACTTATATCACTCCGTGGTGGAAGCGATATTTGACTTTTTGCAGCAGGTTCTGTTGCAGGCAAAATGCTGGTTTGGAGCAGCCACTGACGATTTTGGAGCTCGAAAATGAAAAAGTGAGTGAGTGAGTGAGTGAGTGAGTGATTTATTTGCACTTAAATTGGTGCGCACACGGCGGCGTGCCAGGCAAGGCAGATAGGCAAAAACCCTTACGCGTTGTTAAATAACTCAATCTATATAATGACTGAAGGTCTCTTTTTGATACTGGGCCATATTACTTATTACCCTTAGTAATAAGAATAGGTGGGCTGCAAAAGGAGAAGTTTATTTTTAAAAATAAGGTTTTGGTCAGAGTAGGCTCCATTTAAAATGGATACTCAAAAAATTGTTAAAAAATGAATCGTAACACAACACTTCAGTTTGGATAAAGCCTCTACCTAACCCCTTTTTTATGCCAGGTAGCTTATTTAGCCTGTAGATATAATTTCTGTAAAATGACTGCAAAGACCAGCATATCAACTAAAGTATTTCTTAATAAAAAATTGTGCCCCCCTCCCCCCCCTGCTTCTTCCAGTTTTAAAAACCTACCCAATTTAATACTCAAACATAAACAACAAAAACAACCACCCACAAATAATATGGAAACCTACATTTGCTATTTAAAATTGACAGTGCTCTTTAGCGCATTGGAACCAGAGTGAAGCCAAAGTTCGCTGCTCTCTCTATCGACAGCTGAGCGGGAATTGCCTTGACCACGATACCACAATACCACAATACTCCCCCCCGAAATTTTCCATTTTGCTGGGGCCTCCTCTTCCCCTTCCCCCTCGTACAGCATTTCGTCATGGGCGAATTGCTGTATGAACCTAGCCAAACCCTGCCACGTTTGCAGTGAAAAGTAAGTGGATTAAGTGACACTGCCAGATAGGAAGGTAAGTTACAACGAACAACGCATTCAAAGAAGTGAATACCTTCACCCGTAGTGATGCGTTTACGCTGCCACTGCGCTGCCAATGACGTACGACATTCCAGTGGATGGTGAATGGCTGCGACGGCTGCTGGCAATTGCTGGCGCTACTCGCGCGCGGTCGCAAAGGTGCAACGAGAAAGCGCGTGATCTGTACTGAGGGTTCCAAAAATGCCCCGCCGTTGCAGCGCCGTACGTGTTGCAACAGATGTATTCACAAATTTCAGGGTGCCCGATTTAGGCGATCTCGTTCTCCTATCACCGCCACTTGACCGAAACAGCACCAAGTTCTGTTGACTACTCACACTGCTTTAGGAATGGCCTTGGGAGGGATCTCCTTGACAACCGGCACTGGCTGGGCCAGGTGCGAGAGTCCGAGGCGTTCCAAAGCATCCGGGGCCAGCAGCCAGCGTCCCCCCGACCGGTGTGCCCCCAGCCCCTGGAGGGCTTCCCGGAGCTGCTTCCGGGGCACGTGGTTCCCGTCCCAAGAGGATTCAAACTCCCGCATCACCTCGGCCTTCTTCACCACACGGTTGTGCACCAAGGACGCCAGGAGGGACAGGGCTGTCGCAACGCGAAAATGCGCTCATGGTTTTGGCTTTTATTTGAACAGGCAAGGCATCACAGGTGCCATACGTTGGACCGCGGCAGATGCCATGAGCCACTCGAGCTGACAAATAGTTTGGAGAGTGTCATGTGACCTCCTGGTTGGGCGGAGCCAGGTGCCGAGCATAAAGTCACGTGGCACGCATGAAGCGCTGGATTGGCTAACATGGGTCGTAGAGCCTCCTGAGGTCCAACGTAAGGTAAATCAGAATGTAGGAAAAGGTTTTCCATGTTCTACTTTTACTGAATTTTTACAGTACTAGTAGATGCAATACCCATCTTTTTAGCATTCAAACCAAACTTGCCTTCAGCACCACGTATCAGGAAGTTGAAGTTCCACTGCATTGCACCAAGTTGCTTTTTGCAACGTGGTGCAATGCAGTGGAACTTCAACTGGCCATGTTGCTTTCTGGAAGCAACGTGGAAGCACCATGTTGCTTTCTGGAACATGGAAAACAGCATGTTCCAGAAAGCTGAAGTTCTACCTGAAACTTCAGGAATTTTCAAGAACATTATTGCAATTTCGTTGAAAAGAAAAGTATTTTTATTGGAAGAGACAAAAAAGGTATGTGTGCATGCTGTCCAATTTGTTTTGTTCCTAAGTCTCGGATGCTCAAGATATTGAAAGTTCACCAGCTCGCCTGCATGTTCTTTGTTTTTTTGATGATTCTTTCCGGGGTCTCTGTCGTGCTCATGGGGTTATCATAATGCACGCTAGAGGTTCAACTGGCGCTAGTGTCTCAACGACTTCGGTGACGCAGATTGAAGCAGACAGCAACCAGTCTATTTTTGGGGTGCTCCTGAGCATTCTGCAAAGTCGCGTGCATTTTGTCTCTTTGCTGAAAAATGACATAGAAAACTTGTTATTTGGGTCGTACTGAATAGCATGTATCTTTATTAACATAATAAAAGTGTAATTGCTTTAGTTAGCACATTTTGCTTCACCAATGAACAACGTTTCGCTTCGCTGTATTTCAAGACCAAACCTGTGCTCCACAGCAGATTTATAAAAACAAGCGACGACTCTAAGCAAAACAACAATCGAAAGGAATACTATAGGGTGTGTTCAAGGCTTGCTGGTATTCTGGTGACGCTTATATATTACTAATGCTATGCCAGTCTTGTCACTATATGAAAGTCTTGCATATTTTAAGACAAACCCCCAAGACTGGGGAAAAGACGAAGGACAGCACAAGGCTGCGTGTTGTGTTGTCCTTTGTCTTTTCCTTAGTCTCGGGGGTTTGTTTTAAATTATGTTAAACCTTCAACAGCTCGTTTGTGCTCCAACTTTTTGCCTGTCTTGCATCTTTACAAGCGGTTAAAAACATTCAAAACGTAAAGAATAAAGTATGTGGGCTATGAAAGGTGTCTCTTATTTTTTTCTGCTGGGCAGCCTTTATCGGGCACTCGTTATCAAAGATTCCAAGCATGAAGGTGATGTTTTGAACGTAGAACAAGTATATTCGCAAAGAGAAGAAAGAATAAGGCCGTACTTACTAACTGAAAATCGGACTACATTACGTGGCCTTCAATTTATGTTAATTGTACATGCACAGAAAGTTACTGATCCAGTGCTACTGCATAGTTCTTGCCGTCTCTCTTGGTTTTCCAGATGTCCTCAGTTTGTTTGGCATGTACAGAGTGGCTGAAATAACCGGGCTCAATCTAAAGTGGGCCGTAAAATGGGCACGTAGCAATCTAAACTTTTTATCAAAGGTGAATTTCACAAACCCATTTCTTCTTGTAAAATTTCAAAGTGTAGCTCACTTTCTGTAAAAAAATAGGGCCAAAAAACTTGCCAGCCTCAATGGCGGACGGCGACGCACAGGACCGAGTATAGTTGCATGGCGCGTTTGGCACGCATATTGATAGATGGAGTCGGGCACAGCATCGAAACGTGTAGCCGACCACCGATGCTGTTCCGTCGTTTAACAAACAAGTTTTTTTTAGAGCACAGCTCTTAGGCACCTGTTTCCGGCGTGAGTGGCGTCGGCGTAACCACGCGGTGCATTATGGGACGCGTAACGTCACTGATGACATAATCAGTAACGTTATTGTCATCGTCACTGATGACGTCATTGGCATCCGCATCGTCACTGATGACGTCATCGGCATCTGCATCCAACATTATTAGATTAGCTCAGTTACGGAACTGCTCATAGGCGCCGCATACACGAACAGTACCCCCTCACTCACCACGACTCGCCAAGCGCCGCTCGACACGCCGCCAGACGGCTGCTTTGGGAACTGAATCAGGATACGTACGTTTCAACGTTACTAGAAACGTAAAAATCAACGGAAAAAAAAACTCCTTCTGTAGTAACTTTTATTGGAGTCTAGTACAAAATGGGGGGCGCGAGATGTTTTCTAAAATCTTTAGTTTGTAAGGTTTTGCAGTACAATTAATATTGTTTTCATGCAACCATGCCTCAGCAGCGATTTCAGGTAGTGCTTCCCCGACCTAGGCTCATCTTAACTTCGGGGCAATTTCGCGGCGCGTCCGCTGGGGACACGGGGGTGGCATCCCTGTGACCCTTTCCATTGTATCTGTTTCGGCTCCGAAATGGCCGATTGAAGCCAAAATAGATGTTACGTGCAGTTCCTTGAGTGACCGCTGCAGGATAAATGGCGACGTTGTGATCGCCATTTGGCGCTTCAGCTGGGCTCTTGGGAACGCATAGTTATGAAACGAAAATATAGATGGCGCTTCGATCGACGCTTGGCTTATTGGAGTGAGTGAGGGGGGTGCCCCCCTCCGCGGGAGTTCCACAACTGAGGTAATCTAACAACGTTGTCCGCATCGTCACTGATGACGTCATCAGCATCGTCATCACCACTGATGTCATCATTGTCATCGTCAAATGACCTCATAGGGGTCACGTGCCCCCTGTGAGGTTATGTAACCCTCGTGAGACGACGGCGACGCCGCTCGGAGGGAGGAATAGCAGACAGGATGAGGAGGTGAGGAGGAGGGAGGAAGGATATAGACGCTTTCAGGGAGTCAGTTACTCGAGCTGCCACCAGTAAGCGCGCTTCCTGGGCCGCCGTAGCCGACCTTCAGTTTGTCGCCGTTGTTCCGCGTTGTGTGCTGCTCCGGCCACCACCGGAGCTTTGTTTTCGTGTTCTTTTACGTTCCGCGTTGAAATTGTGCGTTTTTTTTAGGTCTTTTCAATATTTTGGGCTTTCATTTAATCATTCGACATCTATATTTCAACATAGCTCTTGTAGTTTCCTTTTATGGAATGGAATCGGACAGCGAATGGATTGACGCTACAAGATTATAGCCTAGGCTTCAGAGATCATGCAAGTTCACCACATTCTTTTGTTTTTGTCACTAATAAAGGGCAGTCAACATCATTGCGACATATGGAAATTTCAACTGACACAGTAAGGCTATCGCAGTCGTGCTTCTCGCAGCATGTGCGCGTTTCAGACATTGTTTCCGTAAGTAAAAGTCGAACTGCATGTAGGCGCTTTGGCCAGCGACGGCGACAACGACGAGAGTCAGCGCTGTCGCCCGTCACTTCGCTCGGTTTTTGGATTTTTAGAAAACGTCGCTCACCATCTTCGTCGCTTCCATGTGGTTTGCCTCGTCACGTGATTGACCGAAGGACAGCGAAGCGGGTCGCTGTCGCTCGCCAAATTGCTTACATGCGGTTTATACTTAGCTAATTTCGATGCACACAGCACTGAACCATTGGTGCCTCGATAATAAGAATAAACCGCATGGAAGCGATTTGGCGAGCAACGAGACAAGTGACGGCCACCCGCTTCGCTGTCGCTCGGTCAGTCGCACGACAATGCAAACCGCATGGAAGCGACGGGAGCAAGCGACCAAGACGGTGAGCGCTAAGTTCTCTAGAAATCCAAAACTCAGCGACGCGACGGACAACGGTGAGAAATCTCCGTCGCTCGTCACTGACTCTCGTCGTTGTCGCCGTCGCTCGTCTCGTCGCTCGCTCGCTAAAGCGCTTACGTGCGGTTCGGCTTTTACTTACGGAAACAATGTCTAAAGCGCGCATATGTCGCAGTGGTGTTGGCTGCCCTTCATTCGAATCTGAAGGAACGAATCTGAAGGAACGAACGAATCTGATGAACTTACATGGTCTCTGAAGCCTAGGCTATAATCTTGTATTGTCGATCCATTCGCTCTCCGATTCCATTCCATAAATGACAAAATACAAGAGCTATATTCAAATATAGATCAAATGATTGCATGAAAACCCGAAATACCGAAAAGACCTAAAGAAAACACGCGATTTCAACCCGGAACGTAAAAGAACACGAAAACAAACCTCCCGTGGTGGCCGGTGCAGCACACAACGCGGAGCAACGGCGAGAAACTGAAGGTAGGCTATGGCGGCAGGGTCACGTGACGTCAAAATGGCGGCGCCCGTGAAATGTTTCCTGAAAGGGTCTATACCTTCCCCTCCTCCTTCTCAAGAGCTACGCTCTAATCTAGCGTTACAGGGAGTTGTAAGCGGCTTTCATTTTTCTACCAAGATTATGTTTATTTTAATAAACCACGGTGGACGCGAGCAGTCTCTATAAGGAGGTAGCACCATCTATGAATATGTGCACCAAACGCGTCCTGCCACTTGACTCGGTCGCCCGCGTTGCTGTTTGCCGTTGACCCTGCCAAGTTTTTTCACCATATTTTTTTACAGAAAGGGAGCTACGCTTTGTAATTTTACAAGAAAAACTGACGTGTGAAATACACCTTTAATGAAAAGTTTACATTGCTACGTGCAAGCGCAAATTTTTACGGCTCATTTTAGATTGAGCCTCGGTATTTCAGTCACGCTATATATCCCCCATGCTGAAAAGCACCGACACGCGCTAACAGCGTCCGACAGTGCACATAAATACATGTACTATGGTCCCTGAAACCCGTTTCCGACTGGTATGGTTACCACGTCCAAAAAAGTGGTCCCTCAATTTCCGCCTGATGACATCATAGAAGTGTCATGCTGTCGCCGGTCCCGATCTTGGCGGCGTCCCAACAGCTGTGGTGCATGTGACAGACGGGTTTACTATGGTTGATAAAATGCCATTTCATCGAAGCACGTTTTAGAGAACGGGCATGTTTTATCGAGGCATGGTTTAGAGAAAGCAGAGCCTCAGCTTAAAGAAACGACGTTTATCGAAAAGGGGACGTTATTTAAAAAAGGCTTTCCTACTCCGTGCGTCTGGTGAGCGTGTTAACCCAGGCCCCCCGCTGCGCTCCCGCCGCTTTGCGGCGGCAGTCTGCGGGGGCTCATTATAAAAATGTTAACTCACCTGACTTATCCGTACACGCCGCTTAGCGGCGGCCAAATTCACTAAAAAGAGGTTTGTCGCCATTTTCCCTAAACTGGGTTTCTCTATAAAAGGACTCGATAAACTGGGGTTGGTAAAACGGCGTTTGCTAAAACAAGCTTCTCTAAACCGCATGCCTCCGGTGGCAGACACCTATTCTGCTGCAAATCGCACTCCAGTGTGAGTCCATGGAAGCTTCGGCAGCCAAAAGTTGGGACGCCGCGACGACAGCGACACTCACGTTCGGCTGTGCTACTCGCAGCTTATTTCTACGACCAACCGCCAGGATCGCAACATACAACAGCATGACACTTCGGCATGTGTGACGTCATTTGCTGCCACTTTGGGACCGCTTTTGATGTATGGGCAGCATTGGACGCTAAACACACTAGTCGAAGACGCGCACCAGGGGTGCTATGTTGCGCTTTTTGCACTCCCAGGAGACTTGGAAGAGGGAAGTGACGTCAACGACTAGAGCAAATCAGATTGGATGTTGACAAAACAAAACAAAATCATCATCCAATCTGCATTCGCTGCGTTGTTGACGTCACTTCCCTCTCCCTAGTCTCCTGGGAGTGCAAAAAGCGCAACATAGCCCCCCAGGTGCCATAGATGTTCGAAGCCATTTTGGCACCATTTATGAATGAAAAAAAAAAAAACTTGCTTAATTGAATAATTATTTTGTCTGCAGTGACTGAAAAATTTTCCGAACTGCCTAGTACGTACATAGAGATCAGTGAGTACGTACGAATTGGGAGAAAATACCGGTGCTGTCTGCTTCAATTTGCGGGCAGCTAGCGCTAGCGGAGCTACCAGCAGCACAAAACAAAAAAGCATCTGGCAACCCCCCCCCCCCCCCCCCCCCCCCTCAACTTTTGCATTTCAAAATGGCGGCCCCACACAAAAACATTCCGTTCGTTTAGCGATTTTAATTCATTGTTACTCCAGTGTTACCGAAACAGCCACACTGGTAGATCGTTCGGAACACCACCGATAGATCCAATTGTCCTCCATAAACATCTCGACAAGCAATAGTCAAGATGGGAAGGCGGTACCACTGCGACTACTGCGACAAAACCTTCCCGGACAACGTGAACAATCGCAAGAAGCACCTTCAGGGCAGCCACCACATTCGGCTGCGCAAGAACCACTACGATGCGTTCCGCGACGCCGCGAGCCTTTTCCAAGCCGAGTCGGCGAAGAAACCCTGCCGCCGTTTCCAGCAGACGGGCGCCTGCGACTACGGCACCGCCTGCAAGTTCTCGCACATGAGCTCCGACGACCTGCGAGAGCTCGAGCTTCGCGCCGAAAACGAGAAAGCCGCCCGGGCCGTCGCTAAGTGCCCCGTGTCCGAGGTGACGCTTCGGGACTGGACCGAGAAGCGGTTGAGGGAACAGGGCAGCCTGCCCGAACCGTTCGCGTACAAGGCCATGATCATGAAGCACTGCGTCGGGACCGGAGGACAGTTCGAGCACCTCGTCGGCTCTTCCCTGCGCCCGCCGACTCTGGACGATCTGTTGGCGTGCCGACCAAATTCGTGGGCGCGAAGCTCGGAATGACGAACGTAGTCAACGTGGTACGAAAGGAAAATGGGACAAAGAGTCCGGAGGGCATCGTGAGCACGGCCACAGCGGCGTACCTTTGGATTCCGATCTTGGTGTCCAGTGAACGATTTTCAAGACGATGCCTCAAAAAAGAAACCGGCACAGTGAATAGTCGTGCTACAATGCGCTGGAATGACTTAAGCCATAAATCACGTGGAAGCGACCGATTCTGCGTATATGTGCACTCAACATTGCGCGAGCCCTGCGACCCGGCCGTTTTCGCAGTTATCAATCTGCCCAAGACAGCAGTTTGCTGTCCAAACTTTTCGCTGTACTCAAATACTCAAAACAAAACTGTTGTTGATTGAAGCGCATGATTACATCGGTACAATCTCAACACATTTCTGGTAAGCCAGTTTTGTGACTGGGTCACTCTAGCAGCCCCCTGTGTGACATCTCGGGGAGACCTACCGTAAAATTTGAGGAAGTGCCCACTTCAAATTTTGAGATAATCTTGTAAAACTGGGGGATGGGCATTCCTTAGGCCAACAACATGTAAAGATATGTCCTCTGTGTATTTTCTGAATGTTACAAAATCGAGGAGTGGGCGCTTATTGTGGAAGGTGCGGGCACTCGGTATTTTACGGTATGCATTCCCTTTGGGGGTTTGTGCAATGTTCTGGTGGCCCAAGGAAATGCTAGGGACCTTATAAAACCTTGCGACAAGGCAAAAACAAAGATGAAGCGACAACACGATATCTCAAAACACAGTTGCAAGATTTATTTAGAGGATAAGCTCTACACAAATAATAGAAATCTTGCAGCTGTGTTCTCAGACGACATTGTGATGTCTCCTTTTTTCTTTTGCTTGGGTTTTCCCCTTTTGTCTCCGGCTTTATGAGTATGACTGTTCACCGGCTAGCCTGTGCCATTTCTCTTATCTAAGGACATGTACTCTACACTGCATGTGTGATATGCGAGGAGCGGCCGTAAGGATCAGAACATTTGGCATGCCTTGCAAAATTCGAATTTAAACACGCATACCTAAAATTGGGCATGCAAGACTAAAAAGTCTTTTAGAGACTTTTCAGTGTTGTGTCATTTACCCGCAGTCTCGGTTTTTTTTTTTTTTTCAACCATGTGCAATGTACACCTGCTCGTTTGCGCCCTTACATTTTGTTCATGCAAGACTATTTTCTTTAGAGATCAACTCCGAGGTAATGAAATGTTAAAAAAAAAAAAGTGAAAACGGCAGCCAGCATTACCCATGTTCTACAACAGCCCATTCGTTGTCAGCACACTGGTTTGCGAGCTTGCTCCCGGGTGGCTTGCTCAACAGAAAAACGCTGAGAACGCCATATTCGCGACTCCAGCGACCTATAGGGGGCGCCACCACCAAACAAACATGGCGGCTGAGTCCAGGTCGCGTCGGCTCGGCCGGGCCGCCTGAATAGGTGGCGCGTTCAATTTAACAGATTTTCTTTCGTTTAATGCCCAATTTTATAGGTATTTGAACTGAGACGGCTCAGTGTGGCCGGTGAATATAAATTTGCAGAACATAGTTTTGTTTTCCAAGTGTGTTCTTTTTTTTTTTTCATGCTAAACTTTTGTTTCGGACATTTCGTTCGAAACCGAAACTATGGGCTTCTGAAGAGACGGTATATACTAATCAGTTTTGCTCATCTAAGGAAAGCGGCAATGACTGCAGAATTTCTCCCAGCGGCAGTCATTTTCAGCCAACTCGCATGCCTCGACCATGCGACTTATCTGTCCGCGAAATCAGGCTTTTGTGCGTGTCCGCGTTTAAGAAACAGCTTCAGTCGTCTGCTCGGTCAACAACACAGGCTGCAGGAAAATTACGAAAATTAAGCAAGCGCTTCTTGAGCAAAGGAGCATGCTGACCCGCCGGCACCCCACTGAGCAGCTGATACTCGTACATCAATTCAGGTTTTAGTAGCAATCGAGAAGTCATTTTGACGAGCGGGTTATGTATTATATTACGTACTACGTCCCACTAAAGCGATATTAGAATATTCTTCGGTTTGAAATATGACCTTAGTTAATTAGCTATTAGGTGAACTGCTGAATAAAAGTATATTTGACAGACAGAGAGATACTAAGTTAAACTTAGCCAAATGGTTCTAGCCGGTAGCACGGAGACGAATGCGGACAAACTGAGGAGAGTCAATTCATTGGAGATTCGAAGTCAAGTTCAGTGCAGAACCTCTCTGCACTGAACTTGACTTCGAATCCTGAACGGAAAAAATTAGTATTTTTGTGGCCGATCAACCTGAGCAATGTAGACGTATATTGCTGCTGGCTTAATTCGACGATAGTATAATATAAATATTGGAGGCGCGATAGATCATAATGCCGTGACAGCTTCTAACGTTGCGAGACTCGTCGTCCCCCACCTTTTGAAAACAGATAATTTCCCTCATTCTTCATTTGCAGCGAGCAGGCTTTCATGAATCAAATAATTGCGAAATCAGCCCAAGTCCTTCAGAGTGGCCCAGAAGATTTTTCGGCAAAAACCAGCCAAGATGAATAGCCAACGCACCGACCGCCGTGGGTGGCTCAGACTTGAAGCTAATCGAACACAACCAAACTCAAGAAAAGCAGCTATCGAACCTTCCCATTCACTTGACTGCAGCATTGGTGTTCCCTCTAGTGAAATGACTCATCTGTCGTCCTCACACTGTTCTAAGTCCTTATAAAGAAACCCCTTATCAGTTACCAAGTAGTCGTCACTTTGAATGTGATTCGAGACAGACAAGAAATCAAAACGTTTTTCCGCGATTCCTCCCCATCAAAGAAATTGAAAACTCGTGATGGAAGGAAACAATCTACTGAGGCTTCGCCACACTAATCAACACTCAGGCAAACTTAAGAAATTTTCGGACCTTCGTGAAATACACTGTTCGCCATCGCGCCGATAACACGTGTCCGCGAAAGCCACCAGAGACGCGGAGGGGCGCGGAGCGACCTGGACCGGCTGGTTCCCGGTTTTCCCGCTTGGTGGCGTCCGTTTTGCTGGAGTCGCGAGGCCGGCAACGAGCGGAATAATTGCAAAAAGAACGATTTTAATGAGATATGAATGATGACCACTTGGGTGATCTCTACTCTGTTCAATCAAAGGCTGTCAACACCATTAATCATTGCATTACACATCCTAAACTCCTGTTAATCTTGGACTTGGTTTTCAACAAGAATGCACAAATGCAATGGCACTGTTACGTGAAAGAGGTGTTCACCGTGGCTGCAAACTGCCTTGAACTTCCAGGTTGGATAGCATTCACCCTCTTCTAGAGCAAAGCTCTTAGGCGCCCATTTCCGGATTGAGCGGCGTCGCTGTCAGTGTAATTGTACGGTGCATTATGGGACGCGTGACGTCATCGGCATTGTCACTGATGACGTCATTGGCAACCGCATCGTCATTGCCACTGATGACGTCATCGGCATCCACATCGCCACTGTCACTGATGACGTCATCAGTGACGTAACTGATGACGTCATCGGCATCCGCATCGTCACTAATGACATCACCTGTGATGATGACGTAACCGATGACGTCATCAGCGACGATGGCAATGACGTCATCGTCACATGACCTCACAGGGGTCATGGACCCTCGTGAGGCGCCGGCGACACCGCTCGGAGAGAGGAAAGCAGACAGGATGAGGAGGACGGAGGAGGGCTATACATTCCCCTCAGTACCCTTCCCTCCTCCTCTTCAAGAGCAGCGCTCTAATTTGGCGTTACAGGGAGCTGTGAACGGCTTTCATTTTTTTCTGTACTTTTATCTCAACCATTAGCATTGTATTGCCACTGCTACTGTGACTTTGGACTTGCTGCGAAGTGCAGTCCATTCATGCAGCAGAAAACATTCCACAAATGCATTTAGTATAGAAACACTGGTTTTGAGTTGCCTGTTTGCAATAATGCACGAGAAATTTAGTTTTATTCGGCTGTTTAAACATATTCCTTGAACTTGAAAGGGGTATCTCAGGGTCTCAGTATGCACAAATATTAAAATCTGAAAACAAGACTACAAAAAGTCAAATTTTGGGTGGGAAGACAAAGAAAGTCAAACACCCTTCCTTTTTTTTTGATGTTTAGTTAAAGGGACCATAAAAAGATTATGAAATGGAACTTCACCCACTGCACGTCGTAAAGGGTGTGAGAAGAAACCCTAAAACACAAAAACTGAGAGTCAAAAAAAAAAAAAAAATCTTCGCTATAGAATGTTTAAGAGAAAACCGGACTGTTTTACACCTTCTTTCCTTCGAAAGCTCTCTGCCTTTTCACTGTGATGCATCCGCGGAACCGCAGCACCTCAACCAAATCCACGTCGCCTATTGGGTAAGAGGTAAACCTAACCAGCACTGCGGTCAGAAATAATAAATAGCCGGCGAATGTTTCCTAAAGGTTTTGTTAAATAATATACAGATCCACATTTTGTAACATAATTAGAGATGTGACGAAAATTGCCGAATTTGATAATGCTCAGAGTCAAGCGCCATCTATTGTGTGGTAAACTAAGCAAGAGAAAGACCCGACTGCACCTGCGCAGTCAACCCACGACTGCCGTCTGCTGAACAATTTTCCTCCTGGTTGCGCTTTCTTCGCAGAGCAGACTTTTGTTTCCTGGCTGCTCGAGAAATGTTTACATTGTTTGTGATCGATTGTTCAGTTGCTATGCCGAAACGCTGCAGTGTACCGAAGTGCCCGAATTACAGTTTTTGCAGAGATGAGAGGTTCCGATTCAGAATACATGTCAGTGGCATCAGCGCCTTCAGTGCAGTAAAACCTACCGGCACACCGCCAACTCGCCGCCGCTAACGCTTCCATTCTCCTAGTGTTAAAAGAACTTCCGGTTTCGATGGCGGCGGACGTCACAACCGTCAAAATTACGCCGCAGCTTATTTTGCGGCGAGTCGAAGACGAAGGAAAAGTCAATATTTCATTATTTGTTTTGTTTAAAAGTTAAAAAACCGAAACGAAAAAGGATGCCTGTTCGGCATTCAGTGAACATTGAAGGTTTAATGTAAAGGTTATTTGGCAAAAGTAAAAAGGTAATTTCATAGTCCCTTTAAAGGGTAACTGCAAAGAAAAAAAAGTTTTTTTTTTTTAAACAGCCTAATTGGGACAAGCATGTCACAAAACAAATCTTCCGCGAAAACAATTTTTTTTTTTTTTACATCGGAGCTGTTAAGGGCTAGGTTTCCCACGATTGTGTCCGGTATGTCGACACAAACCTACCTGGACAGCTACCGCCATCTATAAGTGATGGCGGCAAGCAGACAACCAGTATGGTTTCCGCCGTCGCTCGTAGATGGCGGCAACCTTTCCAGCTATTATAGAAGAATGGATAGTTGGGCGCATTGGTGGGAATTCAACGTAGGAAACAGCGCGAAAAACAGACGACGACGAAGAAGAAGCACACAGTGTATTGAGTACAGCTCCGCTGGTCTTCCTTCTTCACGAGAATGGCAAGGCTGAACGTTTTTTTTTAGCAATATTTACGCCACAGGACCCAATTTAGTTGGAGTCGCAACCTCTCCATATTTGAAACTCCCGCTCTTTCGACCCTACGGAGGAAAAGTACGCCCCGCCCCTCACTCTTGGATTCTCTTGGATTGACGTGGCTGCGGAGTACGCAGCATCTTGACTTCCGGCAGCAGATCAGGGGGAGCCGGTTTGCTTTCGTTGTATTTGTTTGGTCGGTGAAAATCTTGCAACAACGCACGTTCAACATGGCGCCAGTATTGTTTTGGTTTGACGGGACGCGAGAAGAATCCGCGGTTTGCGAGCACATGTAGCGGAGACGTGACCTGAGAGGTGCCCCTGAAATGTTCCCGGGAGACGGAAAGTATCATTCGTAATCGTCGTGTGTGCTTTGAAAGCAAAGGGAGTCGCAGGGTTCACGAGTGCGCAACCACAAGCCAACGTTCACGACAGCGCTGCGTTGACTTCGGCGATCTCGTTCTGTTTGGTGCGACACCTCGATGCGACAAAGAACTGAAACGTTCGTGGTGTGTGGTGCGGGGCCTTGGAAGTAGAAACCCACACTAACACAGAGCGCAAATTGGTTGTTGTGGGGTTGACGTTCCACAAGTTCAGTACTGTCGTCGTCAGCTGATCCGGTCCAGCTGGTCCGATGGGATGCAGTGAGCTGTGGCAGCGAGCGTTTTTAAAAGTAAATCTTCCTTCGTTTCGTTTCAAAATGTGGAAGATTCCCGACGCATTCTGAGAGTAAAAAGCTGCGGGGTGTTTTCAACAAAATTACGTCATTTTAATTGCACAATGTGCTCCGGATTGTTGTCCTAAATCTGAGATTTTTATAGTTGGCGTTGCTTGACTGCGTTTGCACAGCAACGTGTTTGCACAACGACGCACACCGCTCGAGTAGATGATTCGGTCCTGCAAACGACCGGTTAAACAGAATTTCAGAGAAACTTAAGTCACCACCGATATTTTCCTGTAAATCTCGTGTGAGTTTGTAGCTCTCATCATGCAGCGTGAATAAATTTGGGTGAGATTTCCAACCTGCCCACAGATGTATAAACTAAGACCATTTTTTACATAGTGAACATAGTGGTTTTTCTTTATTTTGGGAAGAGGCGTTAGTGCATTTATTATGGTACAATCACTCGACAGTTCAGAAATTGGGGAGGGTGACCAAGCTTTCCGAACATTGTCTCTTTCCTCTCTGGCACTGCTCAAGTTGTAGTTTCAGTAGGCATACCTACTAGCAGGTACAAACTGCTCTAAAGCAGGTAAAAGACTGGGAAGTAAAAACGGTGCGGACTCCGTGCTTCGCGCTTTTCACAAGGTGACTGGGGAAGTGCTTTTGCAAGGTATGCGGAGTATGCAACCAATTTTGTTATGCCCGTCGTTTGCGTCTCTCCAGCAAAACGAATAAGATTATCTACAAGGGCTTAATCACAAGCCAAGATTTACGATAACAGTACACATTCAATTCAAACAACTTTACGTAGGATGGTTCGGAAGCCGAAGAAGACAAAAAAAGATCCGTCGTCTAAATCAGAATTCGGTCGTCCGAAGGCTTTTGCGGACAGTTGTTATGTAATAACCTGGCTGTGCTAGGTTTTTTTATGTAATAGCTGTCTCAGTTGCGGACATTCGGTGCGAATCTCGAAGGCCTCCGGAGCGAAATGAAGAGAATATACCTGGACTCGTTTGTCACTACGTGAGCGCCCGATTGCCTGCAGCCAAATAGCATTCAGCTTGTGATCTTTGGGGCGACTGCTGGAAGACTCGCTGTCGCGATTACTCATTTCGCAGCACTTTACAGAGCAATGGCACCGGTTTACAGGAGCTGACATCTCCAAACAAATCAGCATTTGCACACGCAAACAAGCAAAAAAAAAAAAATATATCCACGGTAAGAAAGCAAAGAGGAAAACGAAAGTAACCAGCCGCGCTATGAAAGCCCAAACCCCGCGTCGCTTCCTTTCCCTAACACTGGTGACAGCTGCTAAACACACACTACTTCACTTCAGGAAGCCTCACTCAAACGCCTGGGTCAACACGAAACACTGATCACTTCGGTGAAACGACTAGTCGAGGTAGGCGAGACAGGCGGGAGCAGAGACTTCGGCGGCCATAAAAGGATGGCAAAGCTTTTGTTTGTTATGGTATGAATCCAAACGGAAGTGCCCGTCTTGTAATTACAACATATAACAAAGGTTTAACAACCAAGATCTAAGCTGTCAAACAAACTTTTAGCCAATGAGAAGTATAGCAGCCAACTGGTGCTAGACGTCACGGAACACCAACTTCGTGGCGCGCGATTTAAAACGGACGAAATAGCCGCAAACTAAAATCAGTCTCACGCAATAAATATTGCCATAAAAAAACTGTTACTCGCGAAAAAATTGTTTTTTTGACATGCTTGTCCCAATTAAGCTGTTAAAAAAAAAACTTTTTCTTTGCAGTTACCTTTTAAGGTAAATGCCACTTCTGTACCTTCATACTTGCAAAACCGCGAGACGAGAAAGAAAAGCAAGGGACAATACGACGATGTTTGAGATTTCATTGCCCTCTGGGCTTTAAAAGTATGACTGTTCACCAGCTGGCTTGCGCTATTAGTACGCTTATTTCAGTACCTTCTTTAATTTGCAAAATATTACTTGTGTTCATAAAAACTTGCAATTGCCTATACAGTCTGTGCTCTTTGGATAAATCAACTGTCAGCCTTGCATCACACAATCATTCTTTTTGCACGCCACCACAGATAGAGAGCGGATTCGGGAGACTGACCGGCCCAGGTGCACGTAGCTTCCAACACCCCGTCCCCTCAGCAGTGAACGAAGTCTAGTGTCGACTTCTATTCTTACTAGCTTCCAACTTCTTTGTACATTGTTGGAACACAGCGTGAGGCCGTAGCGATCATCGGACCTTGAGAAATGTACAGAGCTGCACAACGCAGCATTTTCGTTCACAAATAACAAACGGTATGGCAAGGGCATGCTAAAATGCAACACGCACGCCAAATCTACGGCCTTTGCACCCAACATTGTCATAAAAGCGTTGTGCTGTTGCCTGTCGCAATCCTGGCGGTGGCACAGTAGCAGACACCCGTACTGCCGCCAATCGCTCCGCAGCCTGGCGGTTGACGAAAACCAAATCAGACACATAATGGGACGCCGCGAAGACGGCGACCCTTGCGTCCGCTAGCCTTTTTCGCCAGCATTCCTACGACCAACTGCCGGGATCGCAATGTTTGACGGCCATTGCAGGATAACTTTCGACACACGGGTGGGACAGGAAGGCAAACGCATTAGTCCAAGACGAGTTCCGGGCAACGCAGCCAAACCGTCTGTGGGAGCGGGAGCAACTCTTTATGCGGGGCGTAAGTTTGTCTGCTTCTTTTGCAGGGGTTGTGGTGACATCAGAACGCTGAACCCTGATTGGCTCTGCTTGAAGGATAGTGGGCAGACCTCAAGGCAGCTTGCTTTGAGGTCTACCCACAATCTTTCGATCACAGCAGATCAGAGCTCGGCATTCTGACTTCATCACAATCCCTGCAAAAGTAGCAGACGAACTTGCGCTCTGCACTGGGGCCCCGCAAAACGAACAGTCACGGGTTGCATGCATCCCGCAACTGCTTACCGGCGTCAGGCAGTGGCTGCGCGCTCTTCTGGAGGGCCTCCTCTCGCACCTCCCAGCTGGGTCTGAAGCTCAGCGTGAGGCGTACGGCCGCAAACTGGTCCAGGCAGCCGGCACCCTGCTGGCCAGGGTCTAGGCCCGTGGTCTGCCAGATGCAGCCGACGACTAGGGGTCGCATGGGCCGCGCGGTGCTACTCTTGAGCTCGGCCTGCAGCTCTTCCTGCCGAAGCTTCAGCCGTGCCTTCAGGGTCTCGGGCGTCATGGGCTGTGGGGCGGATGCGAAGTACAGTGCAGCCACAACGATACCACATATAACGATGTAGCGCTTATAACAATCAGTTTCCAGAGTTTATAGACTGGCAATTATCAGTTTCTAGTCCAGATGCAACAATAATCGGTTATAACGATTAAAATTTCGGATTTTCTCATCGTCATAAGTGGACTGCACTGTATATGTTGCGGGCCTACAAGCCTAGCTCGAGTCAAGTTCAAGTTGGCACAGACACATTAGCAGACACGACCCGGCTCCTGCCTCCCAAGCAACTTCTGGTCACCCCATTTAGGCCTTCCAAGCTTCTTTCTGCCACAATGTTCTAGGACGCGTAAGTGCTAGTGAATCGACAAAGTTTGAGAAATATAAAAATCCTAAACCTACGCTCTTTCAATGTATAAGAGGCGATCGGTCGTTGTGCGAAAGTATTAAAAAATGTCCAGCAAATCTATTGCTCGCCGATCCTTTAGCTAAGCACCTGAAGAGTTTGTGATTAAATATTTCATGAATGTTACAAGCTGCTGTGTTATGGGGGACTGTATGTCCTCCCATTTGACCGTAAACTTGGGGGATACAAATTTCTACAGCACCTACCTGCATCCTTTTTACGAAAAGAGTCCATAAACCCATTTCATAAAGGGCAACAAGGAAGTGCATTTGTATTTTACGTCCATGCAAGCTACTGGTCAAGTGAGAAGACAAACAATCCCCGCCTTAGCACCACTTCTTGCAATGTCCATAAAATCATTGATCACCAGTCCTACAGGCGCTTAGCTGAAGGGTCGGTTAGCCAGAGATTTGTTGGAAATTTTCGAAATAATCTTGTAAGAAGACCGATCTCATGTTAGTTATATGTTAAATAGGACAGTGTAAGGTCCTCCCAAAATCCCTAACTGCGTTGTTTTTCTGGAACTGGCACAAACGAGCCTAGAAGGCCTGTCAAAACGGAGCGACCAGAAGTCGCTCCGTCTATGCCATATTTTCCGCATGACAGACCGCACCCCGTGTTCAATCTGCAAGAGCACAATTTGATTTAAAAAAAAGTTTTTCTTATATATTTAGCATTTAAATAAAAAGAAAAATCTCATACACAGCACACCTTGACCAGTACCCGACTTGTTAGCTTAGAAAAGACCATGGATCATAGATAATCAATCATTAACATGTTTTGTCATTCACAAAAACTGTCACGTCTTGTCATAATGAATAGTCTGGAAATAATGAATCCTGGTATGGTCTACAGCCGTAGATAGCCCACACCGCATGAAATATAAACTTTTAAACATGTACAGTATGGAAATACGGTACTCCGTTAGGAACGGGACCAACAGCCATGCGGAAGAACAAGTTTACAGGTGACGTGGTAAACTCTGATTATCAGCTGCATGACTGAGCTTTGAGAGACTGTTTCGAGCTCAAAGAAAGATTGTGCCCACACAGCAGAAAACTAGGAGCGACCCACCAGTGGCACTATTGCCATTACTACCGTTCTCGACCTCACCTCGGCAAGATGTTACTTTCTCTGGACTAGCCTTCCTCAGAAAGGCAAAAGCTAGAATAGGTTGATTTCGGAACCGCACCAGGTTTGGGGAACGTAGCCAAGCGCACCAGCCACAGATATATACATCTTTTAAAGTTGACGGTGGTCGTGCCCGTCAAATTTTTCATAAAAGCTTACTTATTAACAAACACCAGCTTGCACGACTTCTCGAGGTTGTAGCAGTTTGTGGCAAGCTCGTAATCTCGTAACTTGCCACCCAATAATAAGCGGACAGCCAACAAAGCCGGGAGCTCCACCAGTTACTCACGTCGTTGTCTCCCTTCTCCTCGTCCTCCGAGAGGTATCCGTGAGGTACGAACACGTCGTTGTCCACCTCGTAGTCGTCTTCGCTCTCCTTCTCGTCTTCCGTTCCAGAGAGACTCTCCCCGGGCTCCTCCTCCTCCCACTCCTCCTCACTGTCCACCTCATAGTCCAGCTCCTGGGTCACAGGTCCAGGCGTGCAAAGAAGAAATCAGCACCCATCCTACACGGGCATTACTGGCACACAAAATTTGAGTTTTTGCAACGAGAGAGTACTTGGCAAGAAAAAAAAAATGAGATGCACCATAACCCTACAAAGGAAGTCGAGAGACAGAGCGTGCACTGGAAGGATGCGTGTCTTTTTCTCCTTCTAATCGATTGATTCGTTATCGTTACAACTCAATAATAATTAATTAGTGGGACTCGCCAAATCGAGCAGGATGTAGGTTCACTAAATTTAACAGCTTTCTGAGACACTTGTTTGGAATGTTGCACTCGTCTCGTGGAAACCAGACTTGTAAAAATCAGCATTGTTAAAATGCACCGGCAGTTTTTGGTTTTTCTAACGAGATAATGTGAATGTATGTGGCATTTTCAATTATCGCTTCACACACTGTAGTATTCGAGTGACCTTTCCAGAAATACTATGAAGCGCTTCCAATCATCTTTTTGATGCACTACAGCAATCCGATGTACGGCGCGCAAAGGAACACCCAGGAATACCGTAGAAGGAGTGGTTTGTGTCTGTCTAACATTTTGCTACTTCAGAATGCAAACTAAGCAGGACCATACTAAAACAGGGTACATACTATTGGCCTTGTAGTGCTGCTTCCAGTGTGTACATTCCAAAGCAAGCGTATGCCAGAACTGCCCCCAATTTCCCCCGCCACACGGGTGCAATGTGGGGTCGATGAGAGGCATTGCGGTATTTTCCGGAAGGTCTATTCAACCTTTTAGTTCAATACCCACACGAGTAAGATATTTTCTAAATAATTATGAACATAAGACGAAGCATAGGTGTCGGGATGCACGACGAAACATAGATATCTCAGCACGGGCTCCCTAATTTTGAGGTAACGAGCCCGTATCCCAGCAGGTCCATGCCAAAGCCAAAGCTTACCTTCTCCTTCCCCCAGGGACGTCTGCCAGAAACAGCCTGACTCTTCTTTCTCCAGGTTCCCCAGTAGGCAGGCCTCACATTCTCGCAGAACTGGAGCAGTTTGGCTCGTGGACGCTGCTCCTGCCGGCGGGGGGACTGCAGGGTACGCCTGGGGAAAGCCTTCCTGGCCAGCCAGCCCTTCTCCGACGCATCCTGAGAGCAAGAAAACCTTCTCAGGCGGTGGGGCCCAGAGCTATATTTACACGCTTGGGCGAGCCTTCAACCAATTCGGCTCGTGGACAAGCCAAATAAAGTTAGGGCCTTGAACACACTCAGGTTCAACCCTACTGCTTCGAGTTTGGTACGGCTCCAAACAAAGCTAATTTGGGGGCTTTACGTGCCAGACCAACAAAGAATATCTCTCCTGCCCCCACGGAGGACTGAGGATTAGTTTTGAGCATCCATGGATCTTTTGATGTTAATCAAAATCTCGGTTATCGGGTGCCATCTCCACAATCAGCTTTGCAGCCTTGACACCACAAAGTACTACGAAAGGAAGAAAATGGATTCAGGATATAGTGAAATTATGATTTTGTAATTGTCCAGTCTGTGGTAACTGCTGTTGTAGCCATCTAGACCGTCTGCTTGCTACAGAGGCCACAGCAATCACCTATCTGCCACCGAAATGCTCTGCTGTCGTTCTCGTGTTCCTTGAGTTCAAGTGCACTCCCCGCAAACACGCCTAATTTGGTTTCACCGTAACTCACCGAAGAGTGAACACGACGGTCTTCTTGAGTCAATCAGAGAGATGGTCCGAGCTGCGAGACGGTTCTCGGCAGGAAGAGAACACTCCGACGATATGTTGTCACACGCCTTGCTTTAACGTGCTCATTGGGTCACTAGGACCGTAGGCTTTGCCATTTACCGAGTTATGAGTATACCGTATTTACTCGCACAATGAACGCACTCGCGTAATAAACGCACCCCCCAAGTCGGCTCTCAAAATTTCGACTTTTTTTTTCACTCGCGTAATAAACGCCCCCCAACTCGGACGTCAAAATTTTGACCCCCTCCCCCCACGCGTGCGAAATGAACGCACTTTTCTATCCTGGTGCAGCGAGGTCGCGAATGCATGGGCAGCGTGGGCGAACAAAACGCATTGCAAAAGGCGTTAAAAAAATTCGCAAAGATCCAACGGAAGCAAGAAAAAAAAAACATAAAAAAAGCTTTTTTTTTTTTTTTTTTTTTTTGTGCTTAGAGCAATCTGGACTTTGGGTTTGCGCGCGGCCGCGCGCAAGGAGGTAAGAAAGAGAGGCGGAGAAGCGCTCTAAGCGAACGAAACAGCTTGCGAAGGGCGGCAAAAAAGAAAAAGAACCACTAAACTAAGAAAAAACAAAAAAGCTTTTTTTTTTTTTTTTGCACAGCGCAGTTTGGTTACGTAGTGTCGCGCGCCCCGCGCAAGGAGGAAAGAAAGAGGAGCGGAGAAGCCCTCTAAGCAAACGAAACAGCTTGCGAAAGGCTGCAAAAAAACAAAAAAAAAAAAAAGAAAACCCACAGAACAAAAAAAAAACAAAGAAAAAGTTATTTTTTTTTTTTTTTTTTTGCACAGCGCAGTTTGGTTACGGGGGGTCGTGCGTCGTGCGCAAGGAGATAAGAAAGATAAGCGGAGAGCCCTCGCCTAAGCAACGCCTAAGCAAACAAAACAGCTTGCGAAAGGCGGCAAAAAAAAAAAAAAACCAAAAAATTAAAAAAAAAGAAATCTTTTTTTTTTTTTGCACAGTTTAGTTCGGTTACGGGGTCGGGCGCCGCGCACAAAGAGATAAGAAGTTACTTCGATTTTACAGGATAAAAGGTCCCTTCATTTTCATTATGCGAGTAAATACGGTCGCAAAATTTTTACTTCGCGTAATGAACGCCCCCCCTAACTTTGTATCGATTTTTCGGGAAAAAAAGTGCGTTCATTCTGCGAGTAAATACGGTACATAGCAGTACAAACAATCTTGGCTGGCGGAGCATTGTCTCAAAGTGACGACAAATAGTGCCCATAAAGATTTACAACAAAAACCATTGCAAATACAGCACGTTGTTAATGAAAAAAGCTGAGACTATCAATCAAGTGGTAATTAAGTGGCCCCTACTGAATGGAAGTTGCATAAGAATATAGAATATTTCGGCTGAAAGAGGTATCCTGAATTGCTCCATTATTCACACTTCTGCACGATCCACGTCAACTTTGAAGGATATGGTCAGCAACTAGTGAAGCCTGACTGTTCCGTCTACTCAATTCAAATAGTTTTTTCAGAACTGCCCTTCAGAATGTACCATAGCCTCCTTTATTCTCCAAAGTCTGTCAAACTGTGAAAGAACCTGACCGCCGTAAAGGGAAAAGGAGGAACAAGGAAGAAGGAGCGCCCAGAGGCAAATCCGCCTGGGCAGGATTTGCTTAGGCAGCGCCAAAACTACTGCAGCGGTAAAATTAAAAAACACGGACGCGCTCCTTACAGCTAGAAAGGAGAAAATGGTGCATCGACACTCCGCTTTCCGCTCCTCTCCTGCTTCTCCATGCGCCTGAAGCCTCCTTTCTTTCCTTCTCCGTTGCAGTTTGTTTTTGTTTTGGAGCTCGCCTGTTTGCTTGCTGTCTATAATGCAAACAACCAAAGGTAGGCATGTTTCGCAGAGACGCCGCAGGTTGCCGCATAGCGTTGGCTGAGGGTTCACCCCAAAAGTGGCTCTGCACTACCACACCAGTAACCGTTTGGCGCCACTACTCGCCTTTTTCCGGCAACCAGGCACTCCGTTGCTTCATCGGTGAACTGACAGGCGTTGAAGAATAAAGGAGGCTATGAACATACTCAACCCCTTGAACATAGTCCTGCTTCTGGAAACTTTGCCAACTGAGAAAGAGTTCCACCCACCTGAGCCTGCAGCAGCTGGTCAAGAGCAGAGGCATCAAAGTGGCGCAAGACATCCTGCGGCACGAAGGAGGCTAAGGTCATCCCATCTTTGAGCTGGAACGGACGGAATGCTCCCACAGCGGCAGCAGCAGACCCACCGCCACCCTGAAAGGGAAGTACTATGGCAGTGTCCACCGACCACAGCCGCATCTTTCAATGGACCATTTCGTAAAGTGGCACATGCTCTCGTGCTATTGCTCCTGAAGCATTTGGGGAACCTTGAGGTGAGATGCCTTGTGGTCTGCAACTACTGTACTACCCCCCCCCCCCCCCCCCCCCTTTCCTTTACCCCTGTAAGTACTTCAAGGAGTGATTCATTGCAATATGATCCTGAGTAATTTTATCACTGGATGCAAGAAATAAATGTTGATATACCTGCAAAGAAGTTTTAACCTCTTCACAGGCAACTGCTCCCCCTGTTACTCAATTATATGATTGCACTCATGTGCATAAACTCACCCTTGTATACGCGGAGGATCACACGTCTGTTTCTTTTTTATGTATGCTTTCTAAAATCTGGGTTGTTGCATTAAAAAATAATGGGCTAACAAATGGAACGGCGTCCCAAACTGGGTAAATGATAAGAGCATTTACCTCACTGGCTTGTTTGGGCTCTGTTCGCTTGACAAAGAAGTTGGCAAAAATTGCCTTTTCCTTCTGCTGCTTTTTCTCCTGGAAAAAACAAAGTAAGATCAGCATACACCATCTCACACAGTCGTCAAAGAATATTAAATGCAGGGAATGGTTTGTGCACTGAGGAAGTAGAGCTTTGGTGTGTTGCTATTTCTAGCCTCACTCTGCTCTTTCCTCTGCTTGGAGCCATGATCAAGGCTGCTTGGTCTTTTCATAACACAGCCTGCTGTGCAGTCTCTAAACCTGATTTGAAAAATGTGCTTCCGACTGACTTAACTCAACCTCGAAAGTGGCACTGTAAAAGAGCGATTGTATAACTGAAGAGCAAGGCAGCCCCTCCCCCCCCCTGCCACCTCCATAGATCGATTTGCAATTTTTGGGGGGGAGACCAGGGAAAGCGGAAAAGTTTGCATTTTGAAGCAGCTTAGGAGCAGAAATCCTACATTTTGGAGCAACTTAAGCAGGAGCTGGCGTCCCCACATCAATTCCACGTGGCGGCACAGAGCTCAGAGCTGGTGAATACCTGTGGTGCGCCTAGCGGCGAGCGGCAGCCAGTTTCACCGCTCATGTGTTCCATGCTTTAGAAGCAGAGAAACCTGCAATTTGGAGCACTAAAGTATAAAAAGAAACATATTTTGGAGCACCTTAGGAGTAGCTGTGATATCATTTTTAAAGATCATCTTAGCCAGTAATTATACTATGAGTTACTATTCAACTAAACTAGGTTTGTACTATAAGTGTTGAAAAGTATTCAATACAGAGAACAAGTCTTACAAAAAAGCGCCTTGGGTGCATCAGAACGCAGGGTGGTGCACGCCAATCAAAGGACAACAAAGAGAATCGCAGAAAATGCGCGATGACGATGCAGGCAAGCGCGTGCCTTCATTGGTTGAGGTTGGAAGGAAACAAAAGCATGTGTGCGCGTCAGGAGGGTAAACAAACACACGAGGTGTGCAAAGAGCACTTGCACACCGTATAGAACTTTACTGTGATATATATGAAATTGCACACAGAAAGATTTTTAACTACAGAAACCACTTTCCAATCAAAATGAAAAGGTACAACTCAGCGACATAAATGTTGCACGGTACGTTGCATCGTACATAGTGCATGCACAATGTATGATACAGAGAATTCATTCGACAGATGGATGAACAGATACAACTGAACCAAGGAATCGGTCGGCAGCTTGTGTCACATGGCAATGGAATAGCCATGGCTGTCAATAGTGTTTACTTTCCGCTAAATCTAGCATCACCGTGATTTTCGGCACAGCATGGTTTAATTTTGGTCAATTTCACGCTTTTGGCACTGCCAGGCGCAGAAATTGTGAATGTACCAAAACAACGCAATTCGCGCAAGCATTAATGCGAAAGCATTAACTGTCCCATGAAGGGAGCCGACATCATAAGCTTTGAAGCCGCGCCAAACAGCACCTTAAATTCTTTCTTCAAGTGAAGCCAGCTCCCAGCTATGCAACTACGCGAAAAGCCTAGCCAAACGGCACCTAGTTTCTCCTATTCCAAAAAAAGCAGAGAAAAGCTGAGGGATTTCGGCTTCAGTCCCATAGGCTGGCGCGCGTCGACGAGGCTCTCATTGGCCGCTCGCACTTGACTGTCGACGCAAGTACGCCGCAGACGAAAGAAGAGAGTGGAAGAGCGGCATGCATGTTTTTGCATTCACAACTCGTAAAAAGTGCTTAAGTGTACCTCGAGCCTTTTTCTTTTAGCTGCCCTCCGGTGTTGCCGAGAAACCTCTCCTCGCCAAGAGTATGAATGCCTGGAACGCGTCTCCGACGGGTGTGTTTACTGCGTCCTAAAAGTGCTCCTTCAATTTCCGCCCGATGCGTCGTAAAAAGAGTCACGCTGTCGCCGGCCACAATCCTGGCGGTGTACCAGCAGCTGCAGACGACTATTCTGCCACAGGTCGCTCTCCAGCTTAACAGTCCACGGAAGCTTCGGCAGTCGAGACGCCGCGACGACAGAGACACTCGCTTTCTCCCTTGCTTGTTTCAGAAACTTCTACGTCCAACAGCACGAATCGCGACATCCGACAGCACGATACTTTTTGCGACGTCATTCGTTGTCGCTTCAGGACCACTTGCGATACATGTGCGACATAGGATGCTCAACGCACCCGTCCGAGACGCGTTCCAGGCACCATACCGAGAGGAAGGATGCAGCCGGAGAGGACGTGCACACGGGCGCGGCGCAGGGCAAGCGCAGATGCGCCCCTGGCAGGAAGTACCATGAGCTCTTCAAACGGAGGGCGAGGTGTCCCAAAAGTCGGCCAAGGGCGAGCGTAAAATGTAAAAAAACAAACTGCCTAATCTGGTGGCAGTGTGTTTGCATTGACCGACAGTTTTTTCACCGTGGTCGTCTCCACAAAACGGCCAGAATTATTGTGCCGAGGCAACGACGGAAGGGGCAAGAAAGAAAAAGTGACCTACCTGTTCCTCCTTTGCCCGTTTCTTCTCTTCCTCCTTCTTCTGTCTTTCCTCTTCTTTCTTCTGTCTCTCCTCTTCCTTCTTCTGTCTCTCCTCTTCCTTCTTCTGCCTCTCCTCCTCCCTCTTCTGCTTCTCCTCCTCTCTCTTCTGAAGCTCCGCCTCCTTGGCCCTGTGGGCAAGAGTAAACACATGCCTCCAGAATCGGCACTGTGCCCTCAGTCACATTGTTTGAGACTTTGCGTTGAAGGGTGCTTCCCTGAATGAGCCGGTAAAGTTTACTGTCTCATGCTAGTGCTGACGGAAACCGAGACCTCAAGGCTGCCATCTTGAATTTGTCTGAACATGCCATTCTTCATTCTTATTCTTTTCTATTTACTAAATGAACATGCTTATAAGCATGTTACTTCATCACTGTTGTAATGGCCTTTGTATGTAATGGTAACATCTCGTAAAAAAGGAGCCCAACGAAGATGCTACTAAACAATAATATAAAAGAAAAAATTATAATGCTAACTTTAGTTTACTAATGTTTGCCTTCTCATACTCTTTTTTTACAAGGCCATTTTATGTGAATAAATATCTCTATAGGATTTTGTTTTCGGAAATACTTAGATTTCTGAGTTGTGCTTAAAAAATTAGAAGGGTTTTGTTACAACTACTTTTATTTAAAAAAAACACTTAGAATTTCAAATTGTAGAACAAGGTCACAATGTGCATACTGAAATCTGGCTATCAGTGCCTGTCCATAGCTTTGATCGTCTGTATCGACACACAATCAAAACATTATGCAGGCACAAATGAAAACTTGCTTGTTTGCCTATTAATGCCATTCTTTTGCATTAAATGCATTTTATTTAACTAAAAGGATTTCGCGAATAATTTCTGAATCACGTTCATATTCAAATATATGTAGGGTGCCTGAAATGCCGAGGCTCAATCTAAAATGGGCCGTAAAAATCGGTGTCTGCACGTAGCAATCTAAACTTTCTGTCAAAGGTGTATCTCACAGGTCTGTTTAACCTTGTAAAATTACAGGGCATAGCTCCCTTTCTGTAAAAAAAATATGGCCAAAAACTTGCCAGGGCAGGGTCAACAGCAAACAGTGAAACAGACGATCAAGTCGTGTTTAGCGCATGTAATGATATACGGTTGATAATGTGGATGCTTGGGCAAGTTGGTAATTCACGCTTGGATTGTTCTCATTAACGGCAAAGGTGAAGAAGTTGAAGATTTCAGGAAGAATAAATATAGAACTGAGTTGAAAGTCAGCGCTGCGAATCTGTTTGCTTCTTGTGTGCATGTGAGTGTGACTGTTCATCCACGCTGTTCCATCCAAGAATAATAGACGGCACTACCTCCTTGTTCCGGATTTTCTTAAAAATATAGCGAGACTGACCACAAAAACCGTCGTCTACTAAAATAAAAAAATATTTTTGTAATGAAACTTTGATTTAAAAATAAATGCAGACAATGATAACAAAATTTTAAGTAACAAAAAAAAACAAAAAACATGGTTGCCCACTAATGATGGCGATCTTGCTGCCAACAAATTTCGTCTGCGTGTCGTCTCTTTTCTTTCGTTAGTCGGCTACACAAGGAGCGCCATCTATCAACCTTCCATCACGCCCAACCTTCCATCAAGGCCTTCAAGGACTAAATCGACTACATTGCCACCTTAATTCCTCCATGGTATTAATAGATAAATAAATTATATCCATATCTCAATACATTCACAAAAGTTGTTGCAATACTGACCAAGCAACAGGTTAAAAAGTAATTTAATTTAAATTAAATGGAAACAAAAATCTACATGTTCAGAAAATTCAAGATGGCTGCCATGCGGCCTTGGCGTTATTATTGAAACACACAAAAATTAAAGGCGTTTACAATTCTCTGTAATGCCAAATTAGAGTGCAGCTCTTGAGGAGGAGGAGGGGAGCGTGCAGAGGGGAGGGTACGCCCCTCCTTTCCCCTCCATAAGCTCCCGTCCTCTCTGCTCCCATCCGATTTAGCGGAAACTTTACGCTAAATTTCCCGCTAAATTTAGCGAAAATTTCCATGCTAAATTTAGCGGGAAAACTGAACTGGTGTTGAGGTTACGTGACGTCCATTTCCCCACTAAATGTAGCGGAAAACTTTTGGCGAGTTGAGTGGTGTCATGTGTGACGTCACGAGGGTAATCCATGTAACATCACACATAATGTCATTTGGGAAACATTGATAATTTTTAACCGTTTCAGCATGGCAGGTTTTCCCGAGGATTATGTGTTCAGACAGTTGTTGTACCGGGTTAATATGAGAAAGAAATGTTCAAAGGTTCGTGAATCTGCCAGGCGTGTTGTTCTCCCTTTCTTCCACCGTATTTCTCATAATCTAAAATCAGCCGGCAACCGCTACGGCATTAGCACTGTGTTCAGAAAGGATTTCAAACTAAGTCGGTTGACCCCGTTCAACTCGGCCATAACTGAATGTACCAAAAAACATAGAGAAAAAGATGTAGATTGTGTGGTCAGGCATAGTTTACAAGATTCCTTTTGCCTGTGGGTTATGTTACATTGGACAAACGAAGCGGTGTTTGAATGATCGTTTAACTCAACACAAACATTGTATTAGAAACAAAGATCAGTATTCAGAAATGTCCAAACATGTGTTAGATTGTAATAATTGTGTACCTCTTTGGAATTCCACATTGGTTATGTTGACCGAGAGAGAGGATCATAAACGCTTGGTAAAAGAGTCCCTCACTATTATTAGCCACGGAAATGTAGTAAATAGGCCGTCTTTTAATTTGGACACGGAGTTGAAAAGATTTCTACAAATTTGACTGTTTGGAGGTCACCTTTATATCTGTGTAGGATATTGTTTGTTCGGGTTTAAGTTTCACCCCTGCCCCTTTGTTTCGGGTGTGACGAATGACAGGGGTTCTTCGTTTTTTGTCCCATGTTTGATCTTTCCCCTAATGGGAAAGATTTCTTTTTTTCTTCTTTTTTTGAGATGTTATCAGGACCTCACCAAGGTGGGTTAAGGGATCTTCCCCTCCCCCCCTTTTGTTTGAGCTAGAACAGTACCGGTTTTTCTGTTGGTCAATGTCCTCCCTCTCTTGTGTGTTCGGGAAAAAGAAGTTCATCCTCTCCTTTTTCATTCCTTTTTGGTTTTCGGGCACCTGTGCCCTATAAAACCACGATCTTCTGTCCAATAAACTTCAGCTGTGTTTGAGACTTAATGTTGTGTTGTCCTTTTTCCTCCCCAGTCTCGGGGTTTTGTCCAGAATGTTGATAATGCAACGCGCAGTTATGCCAACGGTGCTGCCACTCAACCCAGAAACTGGCGCCTAAGAGCTGTGCTCTAAAAAAGAAAAGTACAACTAATCCTTCCAGTGTCCAACCACACTGAGGTCCTTTTGGTATTGTAAGGAACAAATGGAACAAGAAACAAATCAGATATTGCAAAATGATTTCACTTTTGAGAGCTCGGTATTTCACGAAATTTTGAAACTCAGCTTTAGGAATATTTTTTTTGCAGACACGCAATTCTGTGACTGAGGGAGGTATGCAAAGTATTTGTGACAATAAAACTATGTGTTTGTGTCACCTATCTTTGTGCAATATTTTTCTAAACGTGAAATTTAATTTGTTAGAACTACTCTATGAAATCCACAGAAGGTATTGTAATCATTTCAGGCTATAGTCCCACATCAACAATATAGGCCTGCTGAAAAAATGGGAGTTATAATATTATTAAACAAGATACAAAAAAAGTTGAAAATCATAATTGGCCCCCCAAATGCTCTTTTTCTTGTAATAATAAACTGATCACCACAAACCTTTCATTAAAATTAATTTCAATTTTAATATTTAAAGTATTTCTAAAGGAAAGGAAAGCAGAAAAACTTTTTAATGAATTGGGTAACATCACAGCTAAACCTTTATTAAACCAGCTTGATATGACAGCAGTGTGCTGACATATCAAGTAGTAATTTGGTAAACCTTGGCAACCAGTAGTTGCAACTTGTACATTTTCTTTTATTACATTTAGCCATCTTTTCATAACCATGAAACATTGGTTCCACATGGCCACGAAAGTTATAAAGGTACTGATGGCAGCAAAGAAATTCGGCTAAATTTCTAATGTTTTAAAGATGAATAAAAACTTGCATATTCGATACTGCCGCCATGAGATTGCAGCCTAAAACACATATAGCATACTGTTTTACTTGGTTTCAAACTGTAGGCGCCTCCATTAAAATTCTCACAACTTGCCAAAAAAACACTGGGTTTTTAATGCATATATTTCCAAAGACAGAAAACACACATGAACAAAATGTGAAAATCTCTACAAGAAACTTGAACGTAAAAACTTTATCTTAGATTAAAAAGTGAAAGCCGTTCACAACTCCCTGTAACGCCGAATTAGAGCGCAGCTCTTGAGGAGGAGTAGGGAAGGGTACTGAGGGGGGTGGTCATGTGACCTTGGGGGGGGGGGGGGGTCACGTGATTTTGGGATCTTGGGGGGGGGGGGGGGGGGGGGGGGGCACATGACCCCCTCCTCTTCGAGGCCACCGAAGGTACCCGAGGTCTTCCCGAGGTCCTCCCGAAGGAACCCGAGGTCCTCCCAAAGGAACCCGAGGTCCTCCCGAAGGAACCCGAGGTTCGCCCGAAGGAACCCGAGGTTCGCCCGAAGAAACTTGAGGTCCTGCGGGAGGACCTCGGGTTCCTTCGGGAAAATTTACCCATAATGCACCGCGCGGTTACACCGACGACGATGGCGACGCCGCTCAAGCCGGAAACGGGCGCCTAAGAGCTGCACTCTAAAAAAAAAAGTGAAAGCCGTTTACACCTCCCTGTAACGCCGAATTAGAGAGCAGCTCTTGAGGAGGAGGGAAGGGCACTGAGGAGGAAGGTCATGTGACCACCCCCTCCCCGATGTCCTCCCGAAGGAACCCGAGGTCCTCCCGAAGGAACCCGAGGTCCTCCCGAAGGAACCCGAGGTCCTTCCGAAGGAACCCGAGGTCCTCCAGAGGTCCTCGAGGGGTGGGGGCTCACGGTTACACCGACGGCGACTCCACTCAAGCCGGAAACGGGCGCCTAAGAGCTGTGCTCTAAGAAAAAAACTGAGCAAAAATTGTTCTTTTTGCAAGCACGCGAAGGAAACAGATTCCCCAAATGCATCGTTGCTCAGACACTCAAGTGAAAATAGATGCAACTTTTAGGCAGGTAAGTGTTGAAGCGCTGTCTCGCTCACCTTTTACGCTCTTCCTTCTGCTTGGAGAGCTCCTCGAGGAGCTGTTGCTTGCGCAGCTTGTTCTCCTCTCTCAGCCTCTGCTTGGCCAACTTCTCCTCCTTGTGCTTCGCCTTCAGGTCGGCGCGCTCCTTCCTCCGACGCTCGCGCTCTGCAATCTTCTCCTGACGCTGCCTCTCCTGCCAGATGGTCAGGCAAACATGTGTATTAATGCATGGACCAAAAAATGATTCATCGGCTTTGGCTCAATGATGCGCAAAATAAGAGCATGACATTTCACAAACATATGTATTGTGGATTAGTTTCATTTAGTGTTGCAATGTAAATAAAACTAAACTTTGTACGAAACAGGACAATCACATGCACGTGACGAAATGCATGCTTCCGGCAAAACGCACTCTGTTATTCACCCCGCTGACCACTAAGCCGGCAAGGTGGAGGAAGCTACATATGCTTGTTGGACCAGTAAACCGTCGGTCTTGCACAATTTGATCACGTTTTTTGCATACTGTCAAGCGGAGAGCTGGGTAAGGCAACGAAAAGAAGGTGATTTTCTGCACCGGCGTGCATGTAGCTTCCACGGCTTTGTCAGCTTAGCTGTGATCAAAGTTCATAGGTGCTGCGATTTGCTACTGTATTGCAGGAAGAGCATTAACCTCCCTCCAGGACGAATTGGTCGTGGGGACACTAACGATCACCATGCGCAATGTATCAAAAGGCTCATTCGCAGCTTCAACAAGTTTGCACAACAATTGTCAGATAAATAGTCCACTTTAATCTGTCTTTTGTTATAACGGGACCCCTCCAACAATTGATACGACATTGTTCAGGCTAGCTGCAAAAGGCATTGAAATACTCAGCTTCAGTGGCGCTTGCTGCAATGAGGTAAAATAATCCCAGTTTGCTCACCCTTTCTGCCTTTGTGAGTGTCTGGGCGGGCTTTCCATTTTTGGCTGCTTTAGGCACCTGAATGAGAAAGAGAAAGGGTCGGCGTCACAAATGTCAGCACTTTGCGCAGATCCTTTGGCAGATATAACAAAGGTGGGAAAGCAAACATTTGAAAGTGAACGTACACATGCTGCAAGGACACAGATATACGTACAATAAAAGAACTGCCGAAGCTAGAAAGCTGAACGACATCAAAAAGGAGCACCATGTTAGGTTTGTTACAAAAAGAGTTCCGCTTTTTTCCCTTCTTGCTTACTATTTTGATGAGATGTCAAAAAAAGAACATAGCAAACAAAACAAGGACCTTCTCATAAGGAGGAAACATAACATGTCCTATCAATTCTGCAACAAACTATAAAAAAAAAAAAATATTTAAAAACCAGCCAGCATACCCAACCCCGTAGAACAGGCTGCAGCCCACTTTGTAAGGTAGTTGGGCAGAAGAATGAGCATAAAAGTTTTCCTTGCTTTAATTAGTAAAAACAAATGTCTATGCAGTGTAGCAAGTTGAAAAAATAATATGGCAAACAGATTTACAAATGTGATTAAGGATTCTTTATGTTTTTGTTAGATGTGCATAATGAAAATAAAAAAAAAAAGCTTCATTACTTCAGTTTGCTTTCTGCGTGGCTTTTCTAAGGGCTACACTGGCAGCTGGTTTAGAATGGTGACACTGGCAGTCAGTTGTTTAAAGGTACATTGAACACCAAAAACAACATTTTGAAGTGCCCAACTGGGACATGTACATTTAACAATGAATTTACCAGAAAAAAAAAAATGAAAACATTATTTGCGCAATGTCAATGTCGTGAGGCTCATTTCGAGTTGGGAGCTATCTGAAATTGCTTCTGTTTTGAGACATTGGCCTCGAAAGAGAAGCATGTTTTAGGATTGTTCCTAACTCAAAATGAATTAATAAAACAAATGTTGCGCCAATATATATATTTTTTTTAAAAGGGGGGGGGGGGGGGTACTTTTTTTTTTTGTAACAAAGCAATGTGTCCTATTAAGATACTTTAAATAAAAATGTGCCTAGTCAAAAAGACAGAGGTGGCACAGATTCAATCAAAATAAAAACTTGGGGACCTTATATCATTTTTACACCTTAACAGTGTTTACTTTGTAATCTGTACCACAAATGTATTGACCAGAATGGAAACTTTACAGAATGGAAACTTACTGGGATGTAGAGTTTCCATTCTGGTCAATACATTTGTGGTACATTTGTGGTGATTCTGGTAACAGTGAAAGAGCAAACAACTTCAATGCTTCATTTAAAAGTTGATCATAAAAACTATGTAGACACATATCAGCCACAGGTCAATCAACGCTAAATCAAAATTTGTCTAAAGGACCGGGAGGATTCATTCGGTCGTGCACCAGTCACCTAGCTGTGTTTGGAGATTTATGTTTGTCCTTTGTTCCCCTTCTGCAGGGATTATTATCATTATTGTCTGTCTAAAGAACAACTTTGAAGCTTACTGAAGGTGACTCAGAGCGGCATAAATTGTCAAAGTGCGGAATATAAGAAACCTAACCTTTGTTTGGATGCCTGTGCAATTCTGATTGCACAATTTTTGAAAAGCGGTGTTACTACGCGGTACAAACATCACGTATTTGCTCCCCATGGTACCAACACATAAAAGATGGTAGAACTGAAGTACTGCAGAAACATGTGGAAATGTTGAGCCGACTGCGAATTGTTTTCTGCCGTTAGGTCGGCAAAATATTATACCACATTTATCCGTGTCGCACCAGAAATACTGTAAATACCAGAAATACGGGACAAGTTCACGTCGCATAACCATTCGAAAATAGCAAACAAGCTACAATGAGAAAGGAGTTTGTCACTACCTCCTTGCCATCCACCTCTTTTCCAGTGAGTTCCGATCCAAAAGCATCGTCCGGATCAACTTTTTCGTCTGGCTTGTCGCACGGCGCCGTCGGGGAGGCCTCCTGGGAGGAGGCAGTCGGGGAGGCCTCCTGGGAGGAGGCAGTCGAACCCGGATCCTCCGACTGGATGCTGGTCTCGCGACACGAGGTGTCCGTCAAATCTATCACGTCTGCCATGTCTTCGGACTCGCTCACGTCGGCGGAAAAAGAGGGGGTGCTGGACCGAGGTTCCACAAAAAGTTCCCCAGCCTCCTTTTCGACACTTGTCGGATTCTGCTCGTCCTGGGACCCGTTTTCTTGTTCCTGTCCACGGGGAAGGCTTTCTAACAAATCATCGTCGATGACAACTTCTTTCTTAGTGTTCTGTTTCGGAGACAATTCTTCCTTAGTGACACTGCTAATGGTCTTTTGAAAGAAGTTCTTAATCGATGCCCCTTTATTGGGAACCTCGGCGGGGTCGGCAGTTTTCTTGGCGCCTTTCGTCTCCGTGTCTGGTGAAGCAGAGCAGGGTATGTTCTCTACGTCAGCTGAGGTAGCGCTGGAGCGCGGCGACTTCGGCACGCTTGCTGCATCTTCGCCCGACAGCTTCCTCTTCTTGCCTGGTTGCGGTGAGGATGCTGGCAGCACTTGGAAAGGAAGGCGAGCTGAAAAGGCCAATGGTAGCTCAATCAGATGCCAGAGACGTGATACAGTGAAACACATTTATAACGAACAGCAGAAAACGCTGCGATCACTTCGATATAGCAAAAACCATTTACAACGAACTTCCACAATGCGTCTGTTGTAATCAGAGTTTGTTCTTTTAGTTTATCTCCCCTTCTGAATCGCTTCTCTTCGTGGGCAACCGTTTTGGGATGAAAAGATTTTTTCTTTCTGTGCGTGCGTGCAGAGTGTATTTTTTAGCATTCTCCCCTTCTGAATCGCTTCTCTTTGCTCAATTTTGTTCGCAACTTGAGCTTTAGAAATTTTTTTTCTTTCCTACTTGTTTTTTGGGGAAAGGGACAGGCTAGAAGACGATTGTGCATTTTTGGAAGCCTTCCCGAGGGAAAATGTTTGATATAGCCAATATGTTGTTTGTTATAAAAAGTACTTTTTACATGCATTTTTATTTAAATTTTCCGGGAGTTCGATATCGACAATAATTCTCTGTACGTGGGTTCGTCCTAAACGGGTTTCACTGCAATGACTACGCATCAAGTGAAGGCGACAAGAAAATAAAGAAAACGAGCAGGGTGAAAAATTGTTGGCATCATGCAACAATATGTGTGGGGCAACTGTACTGCGAGCCAGGGCACATCTGCATTCTTTGCTTTTATTCTGCTCTTTCATTCTGCCTTTCTGCTCATTAGAAAAAAAATCAAGCAGCACCCTTAATAAATGCCCTGGCTGGATAAAGAGCCATACATTTTACTCAAAAGTTCCCACAAAGCTCTCCAGCTGTTTGACACATGTGTCAACTCGGCATGCTGTACGATTTTCTATGATTAGGCCAAGAGAATGCTATACGGAGCGCAAGTTTGTCTGCTTCTTTTGCAATTGTTGTGGTGACATCAGAGCACCGAGTTCTGATTGGCTCTGATTGAAGGATAGTGGGTAGACCTCAAGGCAGGCTGCCTCGAGGTCTGCCCATTATCCTTCAATCAGAGCCGACCAGAGCTCGGCGTTCTGACGTCACCCCAACCCCTCCTAAAGAAGCAGACAAACTTGTGTTCCGCATTGACAAAAAGATGTGTGCCACAATGAAGCACAAGTGACAGAATGTAAGAGCGCACATCACAAATGTTCAAGGTCATTCTGCTCAAACTGCTAAATGAAAGAGACCCATGGATCCCAAGTGCCAAGTAGGTCAGGACTACAAGTTAGATCCAATGAAACTGCCAAGAAATAAACGAGTGCAAAATATCTGCACAAAAGTAGCTCGTTTAACTACTTTTCTGAATGACGGCGACACATGGACCGTGTATGACCTCTGTGCCTTCCAGTACCTTGAGGTTCTTACTCTTACAATCACTTGTAGCACCCAGCCTTAGCAAGTTGAACGGATATAAGCGGTGGGCACCAGCTTTTCACACACACGGGCCAATGAATCACTGCTTCGGTTACCAACATTCTGAGACTATCAAGCGACAAGGGACACCTTGACATTTCGATGTGTGCACCTTATTTGTATGTGAAGGGAAGTGACAAGGAATTTCATGGACAGAGATCAAGCTAGGAAATGTTTCCTACACGGTCAGAAGGTTAACTCTGTAATAACATGTGGCTAGCACACTACCAGCAGAAATAGATCCAGCTGTTGTGGACGAAGCATAAAACCAGAAATATTGTTGTGTGACATACTACTTTATTTAGTTGTTTGCAGAAGGGGACTATATGTGCTGATAGTAATGCGATACTCCTAAAAGAGGTTCCTTATGCAAATTTTGTCATGACGTGCAGAAATGCGAACACCCGGGGCCACAAAGGACTGTTCGCGAATGTTGTGAAGCCTTATTGATAAGCCATGACTCCCCCGCCCACTACATCTTAGCTGTACTGGGCAGGGGCATCTTGGCATCTTAGAAAAAAAAAAGGGGGGGGGGGGGGGGGGGGGGGGCGAGGGGCGTTTGTTTTTTTCTTTTTAAAGTATAATCTGAAAAAATTTAATTCAAATATTCAAAATTGTTTGGTTGTTTCAAATGTCCACGAAGCACAATGGTGGTGGCAAGTCATACCCGTTGCCGTTGAAGTGACGTGTAGTACCTGATCAGCTAAGATATGTGCTGGGCAGGTTGAATGACGCTGTATGAAGAACTACCTTTCGACTTACACTGCTTCATCTTCTTCGGAGGCGCGACTTCACACAATGGTTCACTCATCTTGGCAGAAAATGACGGCGCCGGATACCCTGGAAATAAAGATTTGCAAAATATCAACACGGTATTTAAAAAAAAAACAAAAAAACCGCGGGGGTTTAGATTGCTACTTTGCGAGTGTTTGGACGTTATAATTCGTATAGACGTGCTCAAAGTCAAAAAGACCTTAGGGCAGTCTTCCTTCGCAAGCAGCGAAATACAATGAATCGCCTAAAACTTTACTTGAATTAGAACTCGGAAACTGTACCCGGCTGTTTAAAAGGCGGCAACAAAACTGCCGTCTCGGGTCGACTGCATGGCTTACCTGTTTCCTTCGATGCACGTACTAAGCGTGCTATAAGAGACCTTAGTAAACGCTACTCTTATTAAGAATTAGTGCGATTTTCGTACAGTTCAGGCACTCGATAACTTCGCACCACCGCGAGTCTGTGACGATAAAAACCAATAAACCTAGAAGATTTGGCGCGCAAATACACCAGCGCTCCCTGGTGTCAGCTGAACACTATTTGAGAAACCGAAACTATTAAAAAGGGAGTTCATATTTTTGATCATGTCGTCACCGGAGTACATCATTGGCGGGTAGCAACCGTTGGTGGATAGTTTCTTAGAGTTTACTTCCTATCAACGTAACTAGATTGTTACTTTACTAGTAATTCGGTCAGTGCAATATTCTAGGTGGTATTGGTCAGTGTTCCTGAATTACAAGCTTTGTAAATGTTGTAAATATCGCGACTCAAGGTTTGGTTTCGGGAATATAGACACCATATTATATGTTGGAGGATACGATTCACGCAAATCGACAGTAAAGCAGGTTTCGGTCAGTTTCGAGCATCTACGGCGAAACCGAAATTCTCACCTTCGCGCGAGCTTCACAGGTCACGAAGGTAGCGGCAAATGCCCCTCAAAGGGATCCCTCCGCCACCTCCCCATCGTTCCCGTGACGTCGTGGCCAAAGCGGGAGAGGGCTTTAAATATTTGCTTTATCTTTCGACTTTGACTTAGCGTTGTGGAAGCCACGAGAGGGAGGTTAGAATTTTCCTCCTCCGATCGAAACAAATACGACTTTTGGGCAGGGAGGATATAAGTACTAGGAGGGGGCACGTTGCAATATTTGTGAAGCCTAGTCATAAAAAGTTTAAACGATGTTATGGCCAACGTGACCGTAGATCTCTTTGGCGATTGGTGCGCGTGACATGTCGCGTGTGAGATGGATGGTTGATTGCAGAAGAATTCCTTGCAGGTTTGCGCGCGCTCCGTCCGGTAGATTTTATCAGAGCGGGAGGCTAGACGGAGGCTAGCTACGGTCACGTGATGTGGTTACGTTGGCCTGATAAGTGAGGAGAGTAAGGAGAAAAATAAGAAAAAGGCGAGGCGTCAAGGGAGCATGGCTTGTGGACGAGTATTTGCTATTCGCGACTCCAACTAACTATAGGTGGCGCCACTCATTTTCCAAGATGGCGGGTTTAGTGAGGGTCAGAGATGCGTGCCACTGTTGAGCCTGTCTAATGTGCTGGCTTTACTGAGCGCCATAAATTATTTCTGGTAATACGAGGAAGCTAATGTTTTATGAGCGCAGGTCGCCTCTTTAACCTGAAAACAAGAACGGTGCTTAGCGTATTAATTACGGAAGGATGCGCGTTTTAATTCTGGAGCGAAACCGAAACTTACCTCTGTTTTGGATTTAATTTCTCGACAGAGGTCGAGAAATTAAATCCGCTTGAGGGACACTCAAGCGGTTTTTGGAGAAGCTACTTTTTGGTGCGATGGCGTTAAGGAAGTGTCAGTGAATGAGTATCTTCAGTTTTAGAAGGCAGAAACGCCTATTAATCACGCAGGAATAAAATACGTGCGGACTCTTTTCTGTACTTGCGAGGACCAATGAAATTATCGTATGTTTGAAAATTTTGGCGGTCTTTTTAAAGTTTCGCTAAAAAAACAATTTTCAGTTCATTTAAATATGTTGTGCATGATAATTTTACAAGACGTAAAATATTTCTAGTTTAGAATACGCGATAGCGCAATTATCGTTTCACAAACAAGGGACTACGTTTTCTATTTGCCTTCCTCCGCGGGGGGTGAATTTCCCGTTCCCCAGGGATGTGCGGAAGCGCACGTATCTCCGCGCGTTGCAGGCCGGTCGTGCCGGTCGCGGGCCGGCCGGCTCCTTCTATCCGCAGACGTGGCGTCGGTGGTGATCGTCGGAATGGACGGCCTGGTGAAAGCTCATCGTTCCGCGTAAAAGCGCTGTCCTCGACTGTGAATTTTCGTCGTGTTTCGCTATGATAACCCAGCACGTACTAGAAGGGAACATCCACCTACTCGTGCGGCGATGTCGTGGCGGCACTCTCAACATAACAGAAACGCCCGTGCCGTCGTGTTTGTTTACTTCGACTACAGTGGTGCTTTCTAAGCATTTGTGTCCTCGAACATCGCCTGGATTTCTGATTTGGCGCATTTCATGCGTGTGCTCAAGTTCAAGGCATTACTGGCGCGTACCGTATAAAGGATACGAATTTTCACGCGTTTTCATCACCGGAGAAAAGTGATTAGTGTTAGCAATCCTGAACGCTCGCAACGTCTATCTGATCACGAAATCATATTTCTACGTTGCTATATCGCTGCTAAGATTACATTGTCTTTTATAATCGTAGAAAAGGCGTGTGGCGATATTTGTACTATTGCAATGTCGTGTATTAGAGTCGTGATCGTCCAAGACGGCGCTGCATCTTTTTATTTTATTTTTTTCATTCGCTGTACCCTCCAAGCCTATCAAGAAAAAATAATAAAGCTTTAGACTAGAAAACTGTCTGTCTATATTCTGTTACGGCATTGAGTAGCAGTGCGTCCCCTTTTTTAGAGGGGCCGCTGACACAGCTGACGGCGGCGTACAGAAGCGGTCGCCGTGCTGACGACCCGCTGCGCTTGTTGTAGTGGTTACAGGTGTGTGTACGCGCGGCGCAGTGCGGTCGTTCCGGTCGCTCCGGTTGCAACGGACGCAGTCGTAGGTACGCGCTCGTTGCACATGTCTGAACCAGCCTTCCCCCCGTTCTCCCGAGGCGAAAGTCAACGTGGCGACATCGTTTGACATCACGCACCAGAGGTAACGCTGCGATGTCAAACGTTGGTTTGGTAACGACTTGCCCTAACCGCAAATCGAAGAACGCCCGAAGAGGTCTGCGTTTCGTCGTCCTCGGAACCCGAACATGACTCCGAAGCGCTGCTATCGTCCACATCGCACGTCGGAGTGGCGTCATAGGAAATCATCCCCAGGTCGGCTGTCCGCCGAAGAACTTCAACCTCTAACGGCGTCAGGTCCTCGAGCGTAGAGAACTTCGCCATGATCGAAGCTCGAATGACAAAAAGGTTCGGCCGATGCGGCTGTGGATGCGGCTACCTCGGGATCACTGCGCGACGGAACGTCGTCCAACGCCATTGGCCCGAGATCCTTTTGATAAGCGTGCGACGACCAATGAGAGTGGTTTCGTTTTCGGATGGATCCGAGGTTTGGCGGCCTTCAATTACATTTTTATTAAAGAAATAATCACCGTATGACTATACTTTTTGGTTTTTAGGGATACTTAAGGCGTCTAAATTCAGCTGTCATTATCAAAACACGAACTCAAAAACCACTTGACTGCCCCTTTAATTTCAGATTCTTTCATGACTCAAGATGTGTCTCACATCGTAATTATTTACTTAGAAAAGTTGTTCGCGGAAACTTTATTTTGTGACATACTGTTCGATCCAGGCTGATATTCGTAGTTGTTGAAAAAATCAGTGCTGATATCTGTGCGTTGTCGCTGCCTTTTTCTCGCTCAGATAATTGCCATAGGAAATAATGACAATTATCCCAGCACAAGAATAAGAGAATAATTCCAATTTTTACAATGTGTCCACGAAACGCATAAACTAATAAACGCTGCTCTCACTGCAACAACCCAAGACGGAATCCGAGTCAGACAGCTGAAGTGTGTGTGTGTGTGTTTTTATAGCACCGCGTGACGCGTAGGATTTCATAATACATCCAGTGTTTAGCTGTTTGTCTATCTTGATAACTATGTCAGGAGTTTTTTTTTATGCTAAAAGGAATCAGAATTATACCTTTCTGGCAAGACTATTATGATTAAATAGAGTATTCCCGTGATCTTGGCGTTAATTAGAGGCATACATTGCCGCGACTTTGTATTAATAATAATAATATTAAAATTCACATATTTTAATAAGTAATTCTTCAAGGCTCTAATATAATTTGTTGCTTATGATCTAATTTTAAACGCGCGAAGAAATATGACAATGAAAACTGTGCTAATTATCATCACTGGTTCCAATTGCTGCATTTTAATTACAAATAAAATAAAAAATAGTCTAAAATCAATTAAAACATTCTAGCTAATGTGAGAAATCCATGTAAAATTACATTAATTGTGGGTAAAGTATATTGTGCTATCAAAGTCGCGACTTTTGACAATCGGCGAAACGTTCAAAGTCGCCGCCAATATACTTCCAAACCAAATGCCCAAAAGCTAAAAAAAAAAAAAAACTTTTTTTAATTACTAGTTTTTTCATAACATTTATTTACTTTTGTATTTGCTCGCCGTCATTTTGCCAATCTCAGCCTTTCCAGATCGAAGGAACGCCTACCTGCTTGCACGTCTGATAACTGCAGCACGTTTCGTTGGCGTTGGAAGCCGGTGAAACAGTAGTGAGTTTTAATATTGCGTATACGAGCGAACTCAAGCCCTGTGCGTTTGCGTTAGCTTTGCGCGTTCCACACTGCGCGTGCGCGGAGCCAGAAATTGCGGTCTTGGATGGCGCATGGCGATGACGCGCACACACATTGTGGGGCACGCAACTCTAACGCAAACGCACACCGCTTGCGTTTGCTTTTATGCGCAATACTAAAACTCTCCAGTAAGGTGCAATCCCGTACCGGCTGCAGCACTACTTAGGGACAGTGAAGAGTGTCGTTTGCATTCGGAAACGACATTTCGCGAGCCATGATCGCGAGCAGTTCCCCCATGCCCGCTGAGCAGGAGAATCGGGGGACCCTCACTAGAGCGCTTCCACTTTCCGCCGCGGGAGGGCGAGCGTCGAGCTGGAGACGCGAATACGGCTGGCATCATGCCCTCTCCTACCCTTCTATCCTCCTTGCTTTGGGGGGTTAGGATCCCCCTCCGATGGATACAAAGGCCACTTTCAGCCAAAGACTCAAACCGAAAATTTTAACGTTTCGGTTACGGTTACGGTTACCGCTTCGTGTTGATAGCAGTTTCGTTTCGGTTTTTTACGGTTTTAATTTTTACGGTTTCGGTTACCGATTACACGTTCCTAAAAACCGGTTTATTTGGGTTTTTCCAATAATTTGTTTAATTGAGATGCTAGACAGCCGTTTTATAATAAACGGATTAAAGTAGTCCCAAATATCCAACAACGTGAAATTCAAGGAAATTAGAAACGTCTTAATACTTCGAATTGGTCAAAAGTTTCACGTACGTTT